CAACAGAGCTGGATAAGTTATAACTCAGTGACCAGGTTATGAAAAAATCATCTTTAACCTGAATAATGCAGAATGGTTAAACCAAAAGGATTTAAGCAGAAATGCATTGAAAATGTAATAATTAGTCATGAATCATAAATCATGTTCCTCTAAGTATGGTGCAGCTTGTATCAAACACACATTTTAATAGCTCTAAAATGTAAGTGAGGTTTTGATGAGGAACAGTCAGTCATATTCCAACGTTTGGAGGATTTATTAGCAATATCTTGAGTCTGGTAGCTAACAGAAACTATCAAATAAAACACAATTGTACACAGTTGCCATATACACTGCAATATTTAAGGGAGGTACACCTCTTTCAGAGGGGTGGTGTCATGGAACGCATGTCCGTGACTTATAGACAGTGACACTGAAACAGATGATTGGTTGGAGAAAGACTCTCTCTTTTATTGTATCTCCAATGTATAGCCAAGAATCCTGAAGCTAAAGAGAATGTTGGAGAGAGTCGCGCATTCCGCTTGCCAACAATACTTTGACATAAGGTGCCAAAGTCGAGTGTTTGTTGTGCAAGCCAGTTAATAAAGCAATGTAACTTGTTAACCATGTTTCTACCGTGTATAAAGCTGGCCATTTTTAAACTCTAGCAATGTGAAATATATTATTAGAATAACGATCAAAGTGTTGGTAGAGAATAATCATATTTAATCTACCTGATGTGTTACGGTACAAGTTATTGAAGTGTGTGTGTTTATGTAAAACTGTCGTTTATTATACATGTCCATGGGAAATTAGGCATTTATGGTAGAAATGTGTTTTGGGGCTATCATGATGGAACATTCCCAGCGGAAGGGAGTTCCTGGAAAGAGTACCTAGGTGCTCAGTTGGTTTTTGCCTGGGAGGAGAGCAGGCTGGGCAGGTAACAGGTTAGCTAGAGTAGAGTTACACGAGAGTTTTGTTATAGGCAAAGAGTTGTTGCCGAAATAGTTTATACTGAGAATATCTTTGATTTATTCAAGTCTTTGTCAACGTCCTGTTTGTTATTTTCTGTACAAAGTTTATTGGCCAATTCGTCCTGCACCGGTTAATATTGTAAATAAAAGCCTCTAAGAGAGGTGAACATCCTGTCTGTCTCCTCACTGTCCAATCCGCCGCTTCTGCTTCACAGGTCGTTTGTGACACAACTGGATCAGACATAATTTTTTACAACCAAGAGGGAGCAAATGTATAACATGTTGTACGTTTTAGAGTGCAATAATTGATTAATTGATTGCAAGTTTCATTGAATCTTCATGAACATTTTTGTTCCATTTCCCCACTCCATTCAGCAGTCCTAAAAGCTAGCATATTATTCCATGATTGACATCTGCCCCTATCTCTCCAGGCAGCTCTTTCTTTGCCTCTCCCAAGGTGGACTAGTGTAGTGACGTTGATGTTACTGGGCTGCTCCAGTTACACTAACATTAACACTGTAGTAGTACACTATGCACTCGCAGGCTGTGTCCCAAACGGCACCCTATTCCCTATATAGTGCACTATCGGCCCTGGTCAAATGTAGTACACAACATGGGGATTAGGGTACCATTTGGGGATGCGGATGCCATGTGGGTTAATTACCAGTACATGAAGCCTGATTAAATTATTTCAGAATCTCTGAATTAAACATGCTTCAGGCGCCAGGAACAGGCAGACTCCTCCGGACAGGCTCCTCGACCATAAGGAGTATACCGAGGGAAAACGAACCCCCTCTCTTTCAAATCAAATCACATTTTATTTGCCACATGCGCCGAATTCAACAGGTGTAGACATTACCGTGAAATGCTTGCTTACAGCCCTTAACCAACAATGCATTTATTTCTTAATAAAAAAGTAAAATAAAACAACAACAAAAGTGTTGAGAAAATAAAGAGCAGAAGTAAAATAAAATAACAGTAGGGAGGCTATATATACAGGGGGGTACCGGTGCAGAGTCAATGTGCGGGGGCACCAGATGTTGAGGTAATATGTACATGTGGGTAGAGTTAAAGTGACTATGCATAAATAATTAACAGAGTAGCAGCAGCGTAAAAAGATGGGGTGGGGGTGCAAATAGTCCGGGTAGCCATGATTAGCTGTTCAGGACTCTTATGGCTTGGGGGTAGAAGCTGTTGAGAAGCCTTTTGGACCTAGACTTGGTGCTCTGGTACCGCTTGCCGTGCGGTAGCAGAGAGAACAGTCTATGACAAAGGTGGCTGGAGTCTTTGACAATTTTGAGGGCCTTCCTCTGACACCGCCTGGTATAGAGGTCCTGGATGGCCGTACGCACTACCGTGCCTTGCAGTCGGAGGCCGAGCAGTTGCCATACCAGGCGGTGATGCAACCAGTCAGGATGCTCTCGATGGTGCAGCTGTAGAACTTTTTGAGGATCTGAGGACCCATGCCAAATCTTTTCAGTCTCCTGAAGGGGAATAGGCTTTGTCGTGCCCTCTTCACGACTGTCTTGGTGTGTTAGGACCATGATAGTTAGTTGGTGATGTGGACACCAAGGAACTTGAAGCTCTCAACCTGTTCCACTACAGCCCCGTCGATGAGAATGGGGGCGTGCTCAGTCCTCTTTTTTTTCCTGTAGTCCACAATCATCTCCTTTGTCTTGGTCACGTTGAGGGAGAGGTTGTTGTCCTGGCACCACACGGCCAGGTCTCTGACCACCTCCTTATAGGCTGTCTCATCATTGTTGGTGATCAGGCCTACCACTGTTGTGTCGTCGGCAAACTTAATGATGGTGTTGGAGTCGTGCCTGGCCATGCAGTCATGGGTGAATAGGGAGTACAGGAGGGGACTGAGCATGCACCCCTGAGGGGCCCCCGTGTTGAGGATCAGCGTGGCAGATGTGTTGTTACCTACCCTTACCACCTGGGGGCGGCCCGTCAGGAAGTCCAGGATCCAGTTGCAGAGGGAGGTGTTTAGTCCCAGGATCCTTCGCTTAGTGATGAGCTTAGAGGGCACTATGGTGTTGAATGCTGAGCTCTAGTCAATGAATAGCATTCTCACGTAGGTGTTCCTCTTGTCCAGGTGGGAAAGGGCAGTGTGGAGTGCAATAGAGATTGCATCATCTGTGGATCTGTTGGGGCGGTATGCAAATTGGAGTGGGTCTAGGGTTTCTGGGATAATGGTGTTGTGAGCCATGACCAGCCTTTCAAAGCACTTCATGGCTACAAGAAGGCTACGTCTTCGTCTTTCTTTCTGTCTGTCTCGCTCTTGTTTCTTTTCTTTCTTTCTCTCGCCATTTGTCTTTCATCACTCACTCTTGGTTGCTGTCTGTCTGTCTGTCTGTCTGTGTCTGTCTCTCCATCTCTCTCACTGTCTGTCTCTCCCCCTCTATCTCTGAGTGCTGTTGAATTGTAAAGGGGATCTCTTCTTGTCTGGATATCTTTTTTTTGGGGGGGGGGGGGGGGGGGGACATTTGTCAGCTTGTTATGTAAGTCGCTGCTAATGGATTTAAGGTCAATGTCCCAATCCCCTGGGGTAGGGCAGAGTTAGCCTACTGATGTAGAGAAATGTTCAGCGTTAGTTTTTTCCCCATCCTCTTTTAAAGTTTCATTCAGATCCTTTTCAACGCGGTTCTGTTTCAGCCGTGGATCTTTTAAAGAAATGATATTACATAATAAATGTGTGAGCAGACACCCGCTGTGGGGTGTTCTGATGTGGTTCATCGGTTTAGTTTAGCCTCTTCCTTACAGCAACAGTCTCTATGCAGGAGAGGGCATCAGTGGCATACGTCTCTACGCTGACAACATTATGACAAGGACTAGCCTACTGGTTTCTTCTGTGTGGTAATGCTGCTCTATTGTCGGTCAATATAGAGAACAGTATCTCTGAGGGGATGAGAGATGGGGGGGGTGGGGGGTGGAAAGAGAGGAGAGGGAGAGAGGAGGGTGAGAGCCAAGGTTATTACAGTAAACTGAAACTAAAACAAAACGAATCATGAAAAAACTATTTTAGTAAACTGAAATAAAATAATTAACAAACCTGTTGATGACGTGGCACCCAACCATTGGTTGTTGCAACATCTGAACAGGGGAACACCACGTTGTGGTTAGCTGATACCTAAAATACCTATCTAGGTGTTGTAAGATCTGGCAGGTGTCAGCGACGTCTGAGCAGAGGATCGCGCCCACAGTCATCACAGAGTAGCTGCACAGGTGCGCTTCATGCTGCTACAACGTGGTAGCTACGGGACCAAAACAGCAGAAGTTTAGCCTCGCGCTTCAACACTCCTGGTTGTTGAGGAAATTGACCCACTACTACTGTTTACTTCGTGCATCTTCGTCTACATGCCCTGACCCATCACCCATTACTGCCCCCCTCCTCCATTACTGCCCCCCTCCTCCCTGCCAGTGGCAAGAAGTGACATCCCCCCAAAACACACAACCTACAGAACATATAAAAGGCTCCTACCACACACAGGCTACTTTCTGTCCCTAACACTAAAACTGAAAGTAAATATAGAAACGAAATAGAAATGTTTCCTGGTTGCTAAAATTCTAATAGTTTGCCTAATTTCAGCATGGGAGAAAACAAGCTAGTATTTTGTAGAGAATCATTGTACTATCTAAACAGCTGTGAAATGTATTTTCCATAACCTAAAATATTGTATTTTCAGCTGTTTTGAAACTGTTTTACAAGACCGATAGTAAAAGTTTATTTTAAATTTAAGAACGGGAAGTATAGAAATAGCACATAGAGAACAGATCTACCACTTAGACTTGCTTTCAATGAGATTGACAGATCTACAGTATAACACACATTTCTATGTGAATTTGGTCTGACCACCCAAAAAGTTGCATATTGCAGCTTTAATATAAAACCACAATTATAATAATCTTGGGAGGAGAGGGATGCCGTTAATGTGATTCCAGACAAGGTCAGATTGAACAAGCGCTCAGTGTGTGTGTGTGTGTGTGTGTGTGTGTGTGTGTGTGTGTGTGTGTGTAGGTTTTTGTGTCTGTTATGATCATATTCAGGAGGAACTGGCAGACCCAGACAGACAGCACACCTCCTCCTCCTCCTGTCCATCCCCGGTCCCCTGGTGCACTGAGGTAACACCCAGCCCTGGCTGTGCCGCATAGCCAGGGGCAAAACTGCACTTTCTGGCACAAGCTGCCATGCCCTGTGTGTGTGGGGGGTGAGGGTGTATGCAGTGTGTATCTAACTCAGTCATCCACCTCCCATCTGCCCCTGCACTATAATCGCTGCCACTGATCTAATGATTGTGTTCCTGGCTGCCCTGCCATAGCTCTGCTGTACGCTGGAGACACTGGGGTAATGATTGTGTTCCTGGCTGCCCTGCCATAGCTCTGCTGTACGCTGGAGACACTGGGTTTAATATTAGGAGACAGACACAGGATTTCCCCACCTTTAATCTCATACAGTAGGGCGAGTAGGCTTATATTGGGGCCAGTCAAAGAAGGTCAGACCAAGATCTGCATTTTTGTTGTGGATGTCAAAACAAATAATTTAGTCCATGAGGGGGAAGGGCATCATACTGTTAATCTCGAGTCTTACTGTTGTGATTTTATTAATACAGTAAACTGTTCTGTACCTGGAAATAGGACTATGTTTACGTGTAGACGTTCAATTGATTAGGATTGTTTTAGGAGGATTGGGGAGATTCTTACCAGAGGCTGTTCAGATGCCCACCCTTTGTAAATATTGACCATGAATAGATTGTCCAAGATCTTATGAAGACATAGGATACTTTGTCATCTTGGATAGTATGTTTTTTGTTAGAATACTTTATATAAATGAACCTTTTAGGATTCCCTCAGTCTCCTTGGTTAACAGAGGGTGAAGAAGGGGAGGAGCTATGGATGGGCTAGTTAACTTGCCTTTTGCTGCCCTCTGCTGGTGGTCAGTGAGACGTTGGGCTGAATGATCGTCACTAAACCTTGCCCTTTCTGTTTCTAAGTTCATTTTGCACCATACTCATTGAGCGTCACCTATTTGTGGTATAAATTCCTTAACCAAACTTGTGAAACAGCGTGTTATCCACACAGACACACACACACACACACACACACACACACCACAGACATCCTAACACTAAGCAGAGAGTGGTTTATGTTATCTAGTGAATGAACAGTGAGTCAGTGTGTGTGTGGTAGTGAGCTGTCCTTGCAGCCCGTCACACGCAGCCCCACCCTCACACAGCCCTGGCTTTATTTCTGTTTGCTGGACACTCCTCCTTTTGAGTTTGAGTTGTATTGTTCTGAAGAGTAACTCAGTCAAGTTCAAAAAGACAAAGAAGAACCGGACTGTCGTTCCAGCTGTCGAGTGGAGGACATAAGACACAGGCTGCCAACTCCTGGTGAGAATAGTAAAGGATCTCTTTACTTTTCCCGTTACTCTGTCTCACACTCAACGGGAGGATCTAGTAGAATAATGCCCGTTTAGTTTAGTGTTGGTTTGCTGACATTAGCCGTCTTTCATAGGATGAAAGACGTTGTTCTGTAATGACAGACCTCTTTTGTGGCTGCGGAGAAGTTTGATCATAATAATTGGATCAGCTTTTATTTGCTGTGTCTGTGGTTCCTTCCCTTAGTGTCGTCCTGTTTCACCAAGCTGTGTGTGGGGAGTGTGACCCTGCTAAGGGATTGTTGTGATGGACATGATAGCTATGATGTATGATATGACCCAGTCCCCTGTTATTAGACTGTGTCGATACATGACATGAAGGGATATGTACTGTAGCACACCTGTTGCACATAATGAGTGTCTGTTGAATGGTTGATAGTTGGCCAAATGAATGAATGGGTGGAGGAGTGAACATGTGAATGAGAAGGCTAGGCCTATGTGTTTGCTAACTCTTATTAGGCTGAGATGATTGACACAAAACTAGAATTGATATAGAGGCGTGATCTAAGAGATATGTGGATTTGTATCTCTATATTGGCGGCAGGTAGCCTAGTGGTTAGCGTTGGGCCAGTAACGGAAAGGTTGCTTGTTCAATCCCTGCCCTTGAGCAAGGCACTTAACCCTAATCTCTCCAGGGTCGCTGTCAATAATGGCTGATCCCTGGCCATGACCACTCTCTGAGGGTGTCTCAGGAGGAGTGGGATATGCAAAAAAACACATTTCCATTTCGCCATAATTGTACAGATTAAGAGATTGTACATGTGTGAAACAGTTTTGTACATATGTGAAACAGGACAAATATAAGCACCCCCTATTTGACTAGCTTTTGGCAGTATACCGTACTGTATAACGGGATATTTGGAAATAGCCACGGTATGGTTTTTCAATACTGTCAATACCGTTAACTATTTCTATGAAGTTTTTCAATACATTTTAATATTTGTAGCTACTTTTTAAGTAAATATCTGCAGTCAACTTGTGCAATACGTTAGGGCATGAAGCATATCGCTTTCTTCATTTCACCTATCACATTATTTTACATTCTGAAGCTTACTGTAGTTCCCCAGAACAGTTGAGCCAGTCACGTGTGTTTGTTTGTAAAAGGCACAACAGGAGAAAGCAGGAGCAGGTGAGTCCAGCTGTGTATTGACAGGGGTCGCGTGTATTGACTTTATATTGAAAGTCAACAGTGTTTGTTTGCTTCTATAGTGATCAGGGACGTGCAACTATAGTTTTCCTTCACAGAACACACTCGGCAGAAAATAGCTTCATTTTCATCAGATGACAACAATGGAAAACCAAGGCCTTTTTTTTTTTGCGGTGCATGCATGGCTTCATATTTCTAATGTTTATCATCGAAAGAATATAGCCAGCTACATTTCCTAATGTTTTGCTTAAAGTTAATCTTGCATTTTACCAGAGAACGCTGGCTAGACCGCGAAAAGGAGCTTCACGTCAGTCAGAGCGCTGTCTGCTTATAGAATGCCCCTTGGTGAATTCTCATCCCAGTGGAGAAGTGCAACTGAAGCACATTTAGTCTGATGCCGAGCAGAAATTACAAGAAGCATTTTAGATCTACTTTTACAAAACGCAGCAAGATATTTATTAGGCATTTTATGCCTTAACTTGCTAGTTATCTAAGTGGCTGAATGAATAAAATGACGGGGCATCATATTGTGTTAGCTTATTGCCGTGTTTGATAAGTCAAAGCCCATTGGATGAGCTCACCGTACAGCTGCCACTGTTATCTTGCTGTTGGTGTGTTTTTTTTTCCTCTCTGTTCTCGGGCAGAGCAGGTAGGCCCGTTGCCCTAGCGACTCCAGACTCCACACAGACACAGCGTGTACACATGCTGCCCCAGAGCCAGTACTGTTCTTCCTTCAGACAAGCATGCGTCAAAACTATGTTCATTTGCACAATGTCTCTCGTTAACGTTCGCTTGTAAATGTCCAAACGCACCAAAAATGACATTCAGTAGCTCCTACATACGTAGATGTAAATTCTCTATAACTTGTGCAAATTTTGTTAGCATTCTGGTAATAGACACCCAATGGGCTTTTCTGTGTTTTTTGGTGTACATTTCTGCCCCTGTGTGTACTAAACCGGTAATGGCGTAAATCCCGGGATGAGAGGATGGTACGACAATAAGAACATCTGGATACCGCCCAAGCCTATATTTGACCTTTTTTATATGCGATGCTTCATCTGAAGCAAAGCCAGACTCACAACCACAAGGGGTCAGGTGAGGTATCCACTGTAGCGTTGTTTCTGAAATGAGCACCATAAGACAGATCTCTGATCACCATACCACGGCCTCAGGACACGAGACAAGGAAGATATTTTGTCTTCAGAGACCTTCCGGATCCAATCATTGCGAACTGGTAACGTGACACCAACACTGTCCTTTTCTCCTTTGATCTGATGAGACCCGTTACAGAGGGCTGCCTCAGTTACTGCTTATAGAGGGAGAGTTTAGAGATATAAGGAAGCCCTGATGCTATTGTTCAGTAGTTTCAATGGAGATTCCCCATGTCAGGAAATGCACAGGGCATCTGCAACCCATCTGTGCTGCCTACTGTTTGTCTGAGGGTCATACTGTAGCAAAAGTGTCAGGTTTTCCCTCTACTCTGACTGACAAGCATCAGACGGTTAGATACAGAATAAAGTATTAAGCAGGATAATAATAATAATAATATGCCATTTATCAGACGCTTTTATCCAAAGCGACTTACAGTCGTGCGTGCATACATTTTTGTGTATGGGTGGTCCCGGGGATCGAACCCACTACCTTGGCGTTACAAGCGCCGTGCTCTACCAGCTGAGCTACAGAGGACCACAGGATCTTGGATGGGGAATATAACTATGACCATTACATTCACGAGCATAATGTAAGACGTGTAAGAAGATATTTTTCATAGAAGTGAAGACATTAAAGACGGCTATTTTTCATAGCAGCTACGATGACGTAGGATATGTTGTTTTGAACAGAAACACGCATACCATGCAAAGTAAGCGCTGGGGGGCATGAGATATCATGTGGTCACACCACAATGGACTGTTTATAAGAAGCACGCAGTGGCGATCGGTCTGTGGCCTGACAGTGCCATGCCTCTCACTGGACAACAGCCTAGATCATTCATTCATTTCTCAACTCGACGAATGAAAAGAACATGCACCCTATTCCCTATATAGTGCACTACTTTTGACCAGAGCCCAATGGGCCCTGGTCAAAGGGCCCTGGTGAAAAGTAATGCACTTCATAGGGAATAGGGTGCATTTGGGACACATGCAGCCAAGCAGCTAGATTTGACTGTTTCTGACCTAAGGGCATTATGTCATTTAACCAAATGAATGAATGGTTCTTTTTTCTGGACAGTTGAGCCAGTCAGTCACAGTATCATACCACGAGAGTTAGGGTTAGTATCATACCACGAGAGTAAGGGTTAGTATCATACCACAAGAAGGAGACCAGTGAGCCTACAGTTGCTGGTTACAACTCAGGATTGTTTGGGGAAAAGACATTAGAATACATACCCCTTTAGATCCCCCTTTAAATTAATTATAACATAATATATTCATCATTTCTGACAGTTTAGAGAGCTAAGGTTGGGCAGAGTGCAGACACATTTACATCCACACAAAGGAGTAGTGTGAGGGATGAATACCCTTTTTAAATTATTCATAATAACAGATTTAATATTGATGTTGTCTGCATGCTTTGTGGCAGTTGGAGTATAGCATATATTGCTCTGTTCTGGCTGATGACATTAACAGCCCCATTAGTGCTCACAACAACCCTGTCGTGTAATGTAAGAATGTGTCAAAACATTCCTGTTAGTGAGCATTTCTCCTTTGCCAAGATAATCCATCCACCTGACAAGTGTGGCATATCAAGAAGCTGATTAAACAGCATTATCATTACACAGGTGCATCTTGTGCTGGGGACAATAAAAGCCCACTCTAAAATGTGCAGTTTTGTCACAGTCTTTCTGGCCCCTGGTCACACACACTCCCCCGGTTCTCTACCACTGCACATTCCTAAGGCTTCTGATGCTGATGTCGTAAAACAATGGTCAGTTTACTTGTCTACTGTTTTCCTGTTGTACTATGCGCCGGATGTGGGTCTGTGACGTGATGGCTCATGCCAACTCTCTATTGCTTTGTGACATGTAGATCCTTACTATGTGATGAGGTAGTTCTTCCTCTCTGTTCATACGGACCATGTCTTCTCTTCTAGGATGGCTCGTTGGGAACCTTTGAGGACTTGGCTCAGGAGTACTCTGACTATTACAGCACCTCTCTCACTGACGTCCAAGACAGAATGGAGGAGATTAGGAAACGGAAGGTTGTACAAGATGCAGAATCAGAGATGGTAAATAATATTCTACTCATTAGGTATAACTTAACGGTTGCAATTTTACAAATCAGACGTCGTCCTTCATCATTATTTAACATCAGTACAGTGTGTGACGGTTCTGAATATAGTTATATTCCTTACTGCTCCACTTGTGCCTTCTGGGCTTTCAGGAAAAGGTTGACTTAGTCCCAACATCACTGCAGCTTCGCTCTCAGATCCAGGTGAGTGAGTGCTCCCTCACACACACATACACACAGACACGCTCCTCCCCGATTGTATATTTACTCTCTGGGAGGACGGATTCCCTCAGCTCCGATCCTGAATAACAGACATCATAGAGCAGCTACGGTGCATTCAGAAAGTATTCAGACCCCTTCACGTTTTCTGCATTTTGTTACGTTACAGCCTTATTCTAAAATGGATTTAATTGTTTTTTTTGCCTCATCAAAGAACACTTCCTCTACAGGTTTTTAGAAACTTTGGCAAATGTATTAAAAATAACTCTGACCCTACTCAGTATCACTCAAGGACATCTTGCATTGTCTTGGCTGTGTGCTTAGGGTTGTTGTCCTGTTGGAAGGTGAACCTTCGCCCCAGTCTGAGATCCTGAGCGCTCTGGAGCAGGTTTTCATCAACTATCTCTCTACTTTGCTCCGTTCATCTTTCCCTCGATCCTGACTAATCTCCCAGTCCCTGCCACTGAAAAACATCCCCACAGCATGATGCTGCCACCACCATGCTTCACCGTAGGAATGGTGCCAGGTTTCCTCCAGACGTGACGCTTGGCATTCAGCCCAAAGAGTTCAATCTTGGTTTCATCAGACCAGAGAATCTTGTTTCTCATGGTCTGAGAGTCCTTTAGGTTCCTTTTGGTAAACTCCAAACGGGCTGTCATGTACCTTTTACTGAGGAGTGGCTTCCGTCTGGCCACTCTACCATGAAGGCCTGATTGGTGGAATGCTGCAGAGATGGTTGTCCTTCTGGAAGGTTCTCCCATCTCCACAGAGGAACTCTGGAGCTCTGTCAGAGTGACCATTGAGTCTTGGTCACCTCCCTGACCAAGGCCCTTCTCCCCCGATTGCTCAGTTTGGCCGGGCGGCCAGCTCTAGGAAGAGTCTTGGTGGTTCCAAACTTCATCCATTTAAGAATGGAGGCCACTGTGTTCTTGGGGACCTTCAATGCTGCAGACATTTTTTGGTTCCCTTCCCCAGATCTGTGCCTCAACACAATCCTGTCTCAGAGCTCTACATGTGTGTGCCTTTCCAAATAATGGCCAATCAATTGAATTTACCACAGGTGGACTCCAAGTTGTGGAAACATCTCAAGGATGATAAATGGATACAGGATGCACCTGAGCTCAATTTCGAGTCGCATAGCAAAGGGTCTGAGTACTTATGTAAATAAAGTGTTTTATTTTTAATACACTTGCAAAAAAAAATCTAAAAACCTTTTTTCGCTTTGTCATTATGGGGTATTGTGTGTAGATTGAGGCAAATTAATTTAATCAATTTTAGAAAGTCAGGGTCTGAATACTTTCCTAATGCACTGTATGAGTCAGGACACTGCTCTGTCATTGTGGTCTCAAGGAGAGATGTTTTTAATGCTACAAAGTCACGTTTCACTGTCTATAATGGAGACTGTGGCCTTGTGAGTTGTAATGCATGCTGTTATAGTATGCGTCTGGCGGAAAAAAAGGTTAAAAGAATTAGACCGAGGAATGTGTACTGTCGCCTTTTGTGGCCAATGAGATGCACATTAGGAGTTCCAAACCAACATGCCTGTCTGTGCGCTAGAATGTGGTTCCCCTGTGTTTGTCAGTTTCCATTGGCTGCATGTCTGAGTGCAGTGTTCTGTTCTCTACAGGAGTCGCTAGGGCTGAGTTGCAGTAACGCCGTGTCCACTCCTGAGACTGAGAGAAGGTAAGACCATAGAGATGCTGTATATAACACTCAAACTGTTCTTATTCTAGATCTATCACCGGCATGGTCTCCCCTTTGTGTGGAGTGGAATGTGACGTCCTTTATATGTAGTTACATTTGTGTTGCTTATCAGTTGTTGGAAGTAGGACAGTCATAGCACTTCCGTACATTGTATTCTTGTCCTAGTGAAATTAGTTATCTTTTTATAAACTGGGTGGGTCGAGCCCTGAATGCTGATTTGGCTGAAAGCCGTGGTATATCAGACCGTATACCATCGGTATGAAAAAACATGTATTTTTTTATTACTTTGGTAACCAATTTATAATAGCAATAAGGCATCTCAGGGGTTTATGGTATATTGCCAGTATACCACGGCTAAGGGCTGTATCCAGGCACTCTGCGTTGCGTCGTGCATAAGAACAGCCCTTAGCCATGGTATATTGGCCATATACCACATCCCCTCATACCTTATTGCTTAACTATAAATTGTTGAACTCCTGGGGTTAGGTCGGACAGGACAGTCAGTGGGACAGTCGTAGCACTTCCATACATCTTCTCCAAGGCTGCGTCTCAAATGGCACCCTATTCCTTATTTAGTGTACTACTTTTGACCAGGTCCCATAGGGCAATGTAGGGAATAGAGTGCCATTTGGGATGCATGAGGAAACGTGTTTCACACTTTGGCTGATGGCCGCCTGTCACTTTTATGAAGTGTTCCTTTACTAGTCTACCACCAGATCAATTCCTCTACTAGTCTACCAACAGAACACTTCCTCTACTAGTCTACCAACAGAACACTTCCTCTAATAGTCTACCAACAGAACACTTCCTCTAATAGTCTACCAACAGAACACTTCCTCTAATAGTCTACCAACAGAACACTTCCTCTACTAGTCTACCAACAGAACACTTCCTCTAATAGTCTACCAACAGAACACCTCCTCTAATAGTCTACCAACAGAACACTTCCTCTAATAGTCTACCAACAGAACACTTCCTCTACTAGTCTACCAACAGAACAATTCCTCTACTAGTAACCAATAGAACACTTCCTCTACTCATCTACCAACAGAACACTTCCTCTACTAGTAAACAATAGAACACTTCCTCTACTAGTAAACCAACAGAACACTTCTTCTAATAGTCTACCAACAGAACACTTCCTCTACTAGTCTACCAACAGAACAATTAATTTACTAGTCTACCAACAGAACAATTCCTTTACTAGTCTACCAACAGAACAATTCCTCTACTAGTAAACCAACAGAACAATTACTCTACTAGTCTACCAACAGAACACTTCCTCTACTAGTCTACCAACAGAACACTTCCTCTACTAGTAAACCAATTGAACACTTCCTCTAATAGTCTACCAACAGAACACTTCCTCTACTAGTCTACCAACAGAACACTTCCTCTACTAGTAAACCAATTGAACACTTCCTCTAATAGTCTACCAACAGAACACTTCCTCTACTAGTCTACCAACAGAACACTTCCTCTACTAGTCTACCAACAGAACACTTCCTCTACTAGTCTACCAACAGAACACTTCTTCTACTAGTCTACCAACAGAACACTTCCTCTACTAGTCTACCAACAGAACACTTCCTCTACTAGTCTACCAACAGAACACTTCCTCTACTAGTCTACCAACAGAACACTTCCTCTACTAGTCTACCAACAGAACACTTCTTCTACTAGTCTACCAACAGAACACTTCCTCTACTAGTCTACCAACAGAACACTTCCTCTACTAGTCTACCAACAGAACACTTCCTCTACTAGTCTACCAACAGAACACTTCCTCTACTAGTCTACCAACAGAACACTTCCTTTACTAGTCTACCAACAGAACACTTCCTCTAATAGTCTACCAACAGAACAATTCCTTTACTAGTCTACCAACAGAACAATTCCTCTACTAGTAAACCAACAGAACACTTCCTCTACTAGTCTACCAACAGAACACTTCCTCTACTAGTCTACCAACAGAACACTTCCTCTACTAGTCTACCAACAGAACAATTCCTCTACTAGTCTACCAACAGAACAATTCCTCTACTAGTAAACCAACAGAACACTTCCTCTACTAGTCTACCAACAGAACACTTCCTCTACTAGTCTACCAACAGAACACTTCCTCTACTAGTCTACCAACAGAACACTTCCTCTAATAGTAAACCAATTGAACACTTCCTCTAATAGTCTACCAATTGAACACTTCCTCTACTAGTCTACCAACACAACAATTCCTCTACTAGTCTACCAACACAACACTTCCTCTACTAGTCTACCAACACAACACTTCCTCTACTAGTCTACCAACACAACACTTCCTCTACTAGTCTACCAACACAACACTTCCTCTACTAGTCTACCAACACAACACTTCCTCTACTAGTCTACCAACACAACACTTCCTCTACTAGTCTACCAACACAACACTTCCTCTACTAGTCTACCAACACAACACTTCCTCTACTAGTCTACCAACACAACACTTCACTTCCTCTACTAGTCTACCAACACAACACTTCCTCTACTAGTCTACCAACACAACACTTCCTCTACTAGTCTACCAACACAACACTTCCTCTACTAGTCTACCAACACAACACTTCCTCTACTAGTCTACCAACACAACACTTCCTCTACTAGTCTACCAACACAACACTTCCTCTACTAGTCTACCAACACAACACTTCCTCTACTAGTCTACCAACACTTCCTCTACTAGTCTACCAACACAAGACTTCCTCTACTAGTCTACCAACACAACACTTCCTCTACTAGTCTACCAACACAACACTTCCTCTACTAGTCTACCAACACAACACTTCCTCTACTAGTCTACCAACACAACACTTCCTCTACTAGTCTACCAACACAACACTTCCTCTACTAGTCTACCAACACAACACTTCCTCTAATTACCAGTATTGTGAGTTTGGAAGGATGGATGGTCATATTGTAAACACAGGAGAATAAGAGAGAGAAAGGAGGGAGGAAAGGAGTAATCTGGGTCATGAGTAAACATGGTCCTATACACTGAGTCAGCGGGGTGTCGGCGACGCCAGATTTAGGTTTGTTTACTTGGCTAGTTACACCGTAGCTTTATCATTGTCCAGTATAAAACAATTGTAGAAGTAGTACCTCCTGTTAGTGTGCTCTAAAATCAAGCCTAAGTCACCTCAAAGTAACATGACTTCATACAATATGCTGGTCTTGGGTTGCCACCTCTGAGAGTTGGTTCCCTTCAGAAGAACACAAGCCTTGATTACTACTAACCATGCGGAAGGAAAGGTTGTAGAGTTTTGGGCAGGCAGTGACTAGGCAGGGCGCACCCTTGTGGCCACCTGTAGAACTGTGTCCAGTGGGGGATGATAGTCGCTAGCATCAGCAACAACGATCAGCTGATGTCAGAGGAGAGAGTCAAGGGGAAAGAGAGGGTGAGGGTGGGAAAGGGTGAGGGATACAAACCAAGGCCACGTGAGGAGCAGTGGTGTTGCAGTCAGAGTTTGAAAAGCCCCTATTGTTGTTGAGATGGCCACAGTGATCTGACCTCTGTCCAGCAGCCAGACCAGCTCTGACTAGCAGCATGATGTTTTCCCATCTGGACTGACCACTGGGAACGGTCCCCATTAACACTATACTGGCCTGGTCCGGTGGCACGAGGGACAGTGCACATTTGGTTTGTTGGGGACCGTGCATGTTTGTGAGGGACAGTACTCATCTGTAATTCTTGGAGAGAAAACTCAGGATGGATAAAGGGGTGTTTCGTCGAAGATGGAACAGTAGGATAGCAGCAGTACAATGAAGAAAATTGCATCGGAAAACAGGTGAGATTGTCTGACCAGACTCTGCATCTTCTATTTCTTGGGTTGTTTTTTGTTTGTGCCATCTCTTGTTTTTGATTCTTGGTTGATTTGTAGGTTGTCCATGCATACATCTGATGATGGATCAGGGGGTAAGTAAACATTTATTTTAATCAATACTGTAATTTGATCGGTCTAAAGTATTACGAGGTAAAGGTATACTGAACAAAAATATAATCCATCGACCTGACAGGTGTGGCATATCAAGAAGCTGATTAAACAGCATCATTATTACACAGGTGCACCTTGTGCTGGGGACAATAAAAGGCCACTCTAAAATGTGCAGTTTTGTCACACAACACAATGCCACAGATGTCAAGTTTTGAGGGAGCGTGCAATTGGCATGCTGACTGCAGGAATATCCACCAAAGCTGTTGCTAGAGAATTGAATGTTCATTTCTCTACCATAAGCCGCCTCCAACGTCGTTTTAGAGGATTTGCCAGTATGTCCAACCGGCCTCACAACCGCAGACCACGTGTAACCATGCCAGCCCAGGACCTCCACATCCGGCTTCTTAACCTGCGGGATCGTCTCAGACCAGCCACCCGGACAGCTGATGAAACTGAGGAGTATTTCTGCCTGTAATAAAGCCCTTTTGTGGGGAAAAACTCATTCTGATTGGCTGGGCCTGGTTCCCCAGTGGGTGGCCTATGCCCTCCCAGGCCCACCCATGGCTGCACCCCTGACCAGTCATGTGAAATCTAAAGATTAGGGCCTAATTTATTTATTTAAATTGACTGATTTCCTTGTATGAACTGTATCTCCAGTAAAATCGTTGAAATTGTTGCTTGTTGTGTTTATATTTTTGTTAAGTATAGTTACTTGAAATGTAAATTACTACAGACACAGTAATGGTTGTTATTGTGTGTTAATACAAATTAGCTAGTACCTCATTTGAAGATTTAATTTAGCCACAATTTGATGTTACATTTTGGAATAACTACATTTGCTTAACTTTAAAAAATGTGTACATATTTTTAAAGTTTGCTAGGGGTAGTCATTGTATGGGGCAGTGTGGATTTCATCTATTTTATTCAACCCTACTGTATGTCCTTGTTTAGGAAAATGGGATGAAATGAGACAGAAAAACAAGTCTTTCTGGCAGAACTTTCGGAAGTCGCAGAAAGGTGTCATGCGGCAGAACTCAAAAGGTATGTTTCTGTTTTGGATATATTCTCTATTTACCCAACATATTTCTGATCACACAAGTCAGAAAACTGTCCTAGTCCCACTCCACTGAAACTGTGTCCCAGTCCCACCGCATCTGAAATCCCAGTCCCACTCCACTGAAACTGTGTCCCAGTCCCACCGCATCTGAAATCCCAGTCCCACTCCACTGAAACTGTCCCAGTCCCACCACATCTGAAATCTCAGTCCCACTCCACTGAAACTGTCCCAGTCCCACCACATCTGAAATCTCAGTCCCACTCCACTGAAACTGTCCCAGTCCCACCACATCTGAAATCCCAGTCCCACTCCACTGAAACTGTGTTCTAGTCCCACCGCATCTGAAATCCCAGTCCCACTCCACTGAAACTGTGTTCTAGTCCCACTGCATCTGAAATCCCAGTCCCACTCCACTGAAACTGTGTTCTAGTCCCACCGCATCTGAAATCCCAGTCCCACTCCACTGAAACTGTTCTAGTCCCACCACATCTGAAATCCCAGTCCCACTCCACTGAAACTGTGTTCTAGTCCCACCGCATCTGAAATCCCAGTCCCACTCCACTGAAACTGTGTCCCAGTCCCACCGCATCTGAAATCCCAGTCCCACTCCACTGAAACTGTCCCAGTCCCACCACATCTGAAATCTCAGTCCCACTCCACTGAAACTGTCCCAGTCCCACCACATCTGAAATCTCAGTCCCACTCCACTGAAACTGTCCCAGTCCCACCACATCTGAAATCCCAGTCCCACTCCACTGAAACTGTGTTCTAGTCCCACCGCATCTGAAATCCCAGTCCCACTCCACTGAAACTGTGTTCTAGTCCCACTGCATCTGAAATCCCAGTCCCACTCCACTGAAACTGTGTTCTAGTCCCACCGCATCTGAAATCCCAGTCCCACTCCACTGAAACTGTTCTAGTCCCACCACATCTGAAATCCCAGTCCCACTCCACTGAAACTGTGTTCTAGTCCCACTGCATCTGAAATTCCAGTCCCACTCCACTGAAACTGTGTTCTAGTCCCACTGCATCTGAAATCCCAGTCCCACTCCACTGAAACTGTGTTCTAGTCCCACCACATCTGAAATCCCAGTCCCACTCCACTGAAACTGTGTTCTAGTCCCACTGCATCTGAAATTCCAGTCCCACTCCACTGAAACTGTGTTCTAGTCCCACCACATCTAAAATCCCAGTCCCACTCCAATGAAACTGTGTCCCAGTCCCACCACATCTTTTGTATTTTCCATGTGTTTATTGAAAGGGATTGCACTAAAATGAAAAAAATACTGATAGAGGTGATAGTGTATAGACAAGAGGTGGAACTGGGATTTGATCCCACACAGGCATGATGTGCTGGGGGGCGGCGGCTTTCTATCTTATCTGTCCCACTGTATCTAACCAACCCCTCCCCTGCTACTATACTTCTGTTTACCAGGTGGTGAGGACATAGGTTTTGTGGCCAGTGACATCACTATGAGTGATGAAGAGCGTATCCAGCTGATGATGATGGTGAAAGAGAAGATGATCAGCGTGGAGGAGGCCCTCGCAAGGGTATGATGATGTCACTTCCTGTCCTCCTACTGTATGATGTGTTTTCCTCCAGAAACACTCTTCTCAGAATGTATAGTCCCACTTCAAACAAAGTCCAACTTATAAAGGATCATAGAGCATACATAAACGTGTCATAAGCACTACATAAATGCTTCACAAATCAGCGATAAGCATATGTCATACTCTATACTTTATAGCAGGGGTTCTCAGTGGTACTGCAGGGGGTTAAATGAGGTACTGCAGGTGGTCCGCGGTTATTTTTATATATATATATACATACATACATACATACATACATACATACATACATACATACATACATACATACATACAGTACCAGTCAAAAGTTTGGACACCTACTCATTCAAAGGTTTTTCTTTATTTTTGCTATTTTCTACATTGTAGAATAATAGTGAAGACATCAAAACTATGAAATAACACATATGGAATCATGTGTTAAACAAGTCTAAATATATTTGAGATTCTTCAAAGTAGCCACACTTTGCCTTGATGGCAGCTTTGCACACTCTTGGCATTCTCTCAACCAGCTTCATGAGATAGTCACCTGGAATGCATTTCAATTAACAGGTGTGCCTTGTTAAAAGTTATTTTGTGGAATTTAATGCGTTTGAGCCAATCAGTTGTGTTGTGACAAGGTAGGGTTGGTATACAGAAGATAATTTGGTAAAAGACCAAGTCCATATTATGGCAAGAACAGCTCAAATAAGCAAAGAGAAACAACAGTCCATCATAACTTTAAGACATGAAGGTCAGTCAATCCGGAAAATGTCAAGAACTTTGAAAGTTTCTTCAAGTGCAGTCGCAAAAATCATCAAGCACTATGATGAAACTGGCTCTCATGAGGACCGCCACAGGAAAGGAAGACCCAGAGTTACCTCTGCTGCAGAGGATACGTTCATTAGAGTTAACTGCACTAGAGATTGCAGCCCAAATAAATGCTTCACAGAGTTCAAGTAACAGACACATCTCAACATCACCTGTTCAGAGGAGACTGCATGGTCGAATTGCTGCAAAGAAACCACTACTAAAGGACACCAATAAGTAGAAGAGACTTGCTTGGGCCAAGAAACACGAGCAATGGACATTAGACCGGTGGAAATCTGTCCTTTGGTCTGATGAGTCCAAATTTGAGATTTCTGGTTCCAACCGCCGTATCTTTGTGAGACGCAGAGTAGGTGAACGGATCTCTGCATGTGTGCTTAGTGGGACTATCATTTGTTTTTCAACAGGACAATGACCCAAAACACACCTCCAGGCTGTGTAAGGGCTATTTGACCAAGAAGGAGCATGATGGAGTGCTGCATCAGATGACCTGGCCTCCACAATCACCGACCTCAACCCAATTGAGTTGGTTGGGATGAGTTGGACCGCAGAGTGAAGGAAAAGCAGCTAACAAGTGCTCAGCATATGTGGTAACTCCTTCAAGACTGTTGGAAAAGCATTCCAGGTGAAGCTGGTTGAGAGAATGCCAAGAGTGTGCAAAGCTGTCGTCAAGGCAAAGGGTGGCCACTTTGAAGAATCTCAAATATAAATATATTTTGATTTGTTTAACACTGTTTTGGTTACTACATCATTCCATATGTGTTATTTCATAGTTTTGATGTCTTCACTATTATTCTACAATGTAGAAAATAGCAAAAATAAAGGAAAACCCTTGAATGAGTAGGAGTGTCCAAACTTTTGACTGGTACTGTGTGTGTGTGTGTGTGTGTGTGTGTGTGTGTGTGTGTGTACGTACGTACAGTTGAAGTCGGAATTGTACATACACCTTAGCCAAATACATTTAAACTCAGTTTTTCACAATTCCTGACATTTAATCCTTGTAAAAAGTCCCTGTCTTAGGTCAGTTAGGATCACCACTTTATTTTAAGAATGTGTAATAATAGTAGAGAGAATTATTTCTTTCAGCTTTTATTTCTTTCATCACATTCCCAGTGGGTCAGAAGTTTACATACACTCAATTAGTATTTGGTAGCATTGCCTTTAAATTGTTTAACTTGGGTCAAACATTTCGGGTAGCCTTCCACAAGCTTCCCACCATAAGTTGTGTGAATTTTGGCCCATTCCTCCTGACAGAGCTGGTGTAACTGAGTCAGGTTTTTAGGCCTCCTTGCTCACACGCTTTTTCAGTTCTTGTCACGATCGTTCATGAACGGGTCAGACCAAGGCGCAGCGTGATATGCATACATGTTTATTAGAACCAAATAAACAACTACACACAACAAACGAAACGTGAAGTCCAAGGTACACAAACAACATACCTAACACGGAACAAGATCCCACAACCCACTAGTGCCAATAGGCTGCCTAAGTATGGTCCCCAATCAGAGACAACGAGCGACAGCTGCCTCTGATTGGGAACCACACCGGCCAACATAGAAATACACATACTAGAATATTCAACATAGACAATCACCACATAGAAAATACACACCCTGACTCAACAAATAAGAGTCCCCAGAGTCAGGGCGTGACAGTACCCCACCCCCCCCCAAAGGTGCGGACTCCGACCGCACAACCTTTACTTAACAGGGTAGGGGCCGGGTGGGCATTCCGCCTCGGAGGCGGATCCGGGCGTGACCACCACCTATTCTCCTCCTCCCTGTTGCGCCCCTGGTCTGGTCTGGACCTCGGCGTGCTGCTTCCCCTCTCCTTCCTCCCACTATACTCCAAGCCCTGTCTGGACCCTGGTGTGGGAGACCCCGAACCTGGAGAGGGGCTGACGTCTGGGTCTGGACTGGAGCCGCTGACCGGAGCCGGTTCCGGGCACCGGTGGAGCGGACTGCTCAGGCTCCGGACTGGAGCCGCTGACCGGATCTGGACTGGATCCCGGTGGAGCGGACTGCTCTGGCTCCGGAGTGGAGCCGCTGACCGGAGCTGGATCAGGCACCGGCAGAGCGGACTGCTCTGGCTCCGGAGTGGAGCCGCTGACTGGAGCTGGATCAGGCACCGGTGGAGCGGACTGCTCTGGCTCCGGACTGGAGCAGCTTACCGTCCCATGGTGTTTATACTTGCGTACTATTGTTTGTACAGATGAACGTGGTACCTTCAGGCTCCCAAGGATGAACCAGATTTGTGGAGGTCTACAATTTTTTTTCTGAGGTCTTGGCTGATTTCTTTTCAAGCAAAGAGGCACTGAGTTTGAAGGTAGGCCTTCAAATATATCCACAGGTACACCTCCAATTGACTCAAATGATGTCAATTAGCCTATCAGAACTTTCTAAAGCCATGACATCATTTTCTGGAATTTTCCAAGCTGTTTAAAGGCACAGTCAACTTGGTGTATGTAAACTTCTGACCCACTGGAATTGTGATACAGTGAATTATAAGTGAAATAATCTGTCTGTAAACAATTGTTGGAAAAATTACTTGTGTCATGCACAAAATAGATGTACTAACTGACTTGCCAAAACTATAGTTTGTTAACAAGAAATTGTTGGAGTGGTTGAAAAATGAGTTTTAATGATTCCAACCTAAGTGTATGTAAACTTCCGACTTCAACTGTGTGTGTGTGTCTGTACATATCTTAAGAGCGTCTGCTAAATGACTAAAATGTACACTACCGTTCAAAAGTTTGGGGTTACTTAGAAATGTCCTTGTTTTCGATAGAAAATCTTTTTTTTTTGTCCATTAAAATAAACATCAAATAGATCAGAAATACAGTGTAGACATTGTTAATGTTGTAAATGGCTATTGTAGCTGGAAATGGCTGATTTTTAATGGAATATCTACATAGGTGTACAGAGGCCCATTATCAGCAACCATCAGTTCTGTGTTCCAATGGCACGTTGTGTTTGCTAATCCAAGTTTATCATTTTAAAAGGCTAATTGATCATTAGAAAACCCTTTTGCAATTACGTTAACACAGCTGAAAACTGTTGTGCTGATTTAAAGAAGCAATAAAACTGGCCTTCTTGAGACTAGTTGAGTATCTGGAGCATCAGCAATTGTGGGTTCGATTACAGGCTCAAAATGGCCAGAAACAAATAACTTTCTTCTGAAACGCGTCAGTCTATTCTTGTTCTGAGAAATGAAGGCTATACCCTTGCAAGAAATTGACAAACTGAAGATCTCGGACAACTGTGTACTACTCCCTTCACCGAACAGCGCAAACTGGCTCTAACCAGAATAGAAAGAGGAGTGGGAGGCCCCGGTGCACAACTGAGCAAGAGGACAAACACATTAGTGTCTAGTTTGAGAAACAGACGCCTCACAGGTCCTCAACTGGCAGCTTCATTAAATAGTACCCGCAAAACACCAGTCTCAACGTCAACAGTGATGAGGCGACTCTGGGATGCTGACCTAGGCAGAGTTGCAAAGAAAAAGCCATATCTCAGACTGAAGAAGAAAATATTAAGATTGGCAAAAGAACACAGACACTGAACAGAGGAAGATTGGAAAAAAAGTGTGATGGACAGACGAATCAAAGTTTGAGGTGTTCGGATCACAAAGAACAACATTTGTGAGACTCAGACCAAGTAAAAACATGCTGGAAGAGTGGTTGATGCCATTTGTCATGGTGGAGGCAATGTGATGGTCTGGGGGTAAATTCATTAAAAATCCTACAATGTGATTTTCTGGATTTTTTTTCTCATTTTGTCTGTCATAGTTGACGTGTACCTATGATGAAAATTACAGGCCTCTCTCATATTTTTAAGCTGGAGAACTTGCACAATTGGTGGCTGACTAAATAATTTTTCCCCCACTGTGTGTGTGTGTGTGTGTGTGTATATAGATATAGATATATACAGTCATGGCCAAAATTGTTGGCACCCCTGAAATTTTTCCAGAAAATGAAGTATTTCTCACAGAAAAGTATTGAAATTACACATGTTTTGCTATGCACATGTTTATTTCCTTTGTGTGTATTGGAATAACACAAAAAAAAACAGGAAAAAAGCAAATTTGACATAATTTCACACAAAACTAAAAAAATGGGCCGGACAAAGTTATTGGCACCCTTTCAAAATTGTGGATAAATAAGTTTGTTCCAAGCATGTGATGCTCCTTTAAACTCACCTGGGGCAAGTAACAGGTGTGGGCAATCTAAAAATCACACCTGAAAGCAGATAAAAAGGAGAGAAGTTGACTCAGTCTTTGCATTGTGTTTCTGTGTGTGCCACACTAAGCATGGAGAACAGAAAGAGGAAAAGAGAACTGTCTGAGGACTTGAGAACCAAAATTGTGGAAAAATATCAACAATCTCAAGGTTACAAGTCCATCTCCAGAGATCTAGATGTTCCTTTGTCCACAGTGCGCAACATGATCAAGAAGTTTGCAACCCATGGCACTGTAGCTAATCTCCCTGGACGTGGACGGAAGAGAAAAATTGATGAAAGGTTGCAACGCAGGATAGTCCGGATGGTGGATAAGCAGCCCCAAACAAGTTCCAAAGAAATTCAAGCTGTCCTGCAGGCTCAGGGTGCATCAGTGTCAGCGCGAACTATACGTCGAAATTTGAATGAAATGAAACGCTATGGCAGGAGACCCAGGAGGACCCCACTGCTGACACAGAGACATAAAAAAGCAAGACTACAGTTTGCCAAAATGTACATGAGTAAGCCAAATTCCTTCTGGGAGAACGTCTTATGGACAGATGAGACCAAGATAGAGCTTTTTGGTAAAGCACATCGTTCTACTGTTTACCGAAAATGTAATGAAGCCTTCAAAGAAAAGAACACAGTACCTACAGTCAAATATGGTGGAGGTTCAAAGATGTTTTGGGGTTGTTTTGCTGCCTCTGGCACTGGGTGCCTTGACTGTGTGCAAGGCATCATGAAATCTGAGGATTACCAAAGGATTTTGGGTCGCAATGTAGGGCCCAGTGTCAGAAAGCTGGGTTTGCGTCCGAGATCATGGGTCTTCCAGCAGGACAATGACCCCAAACATACTTCAAAAAGCACCCAGAAATGGATGGCAACAAAGCGCTGGAGAGTTCTGAAGTGGCCAGCAATGAGTCCAGATCTTAATCCCATTGAACACCTGTGGAGAGATCTTAAAATTGCTGTTGGGAAAAGGCACCCATCCAATATGAGAGACCTGGAGCAGTTTGCAAAAGAAGAGTGGTCCAAAATTCCGGGTGAGAGGTGTAAGAAGCTTATTGATGGTTATAGGAAGCGACTGATTTCAGTTATTTTTTCCAAAGGGTGTGCAACTAAATATTAAGTTAAGGGTGCCAATCATTTTGTCCGGCCCATTTTTTGAGTTTTGTGTGAAATTATGTCAAATTTGCTTTTTTCCTGTTTTTTTTGTGTTATTCCAATACACACAAAGGAAATAAACATGTGCATAGCAAAACATGTGTAATTTCAATACTTTTCTGTGAGAAATACTTCATTTTCTGGAAAAATGTCAGGGGTGCCAACAATTTTGGCCATGACTGTATATATATATATATATATATATAGATAGATATAGATATAGATATATAGATAGATAGATATAGATAGATATATAGTAGATATATCGATAGATAGATATATAGATATAGATATATAGATATAGATATATAGAGATAGATATATAGATATAGATATATAGATATAGATATATAGATAGATAGATAGGATAGGTGAAGATAGAGAGATAGACTATTTATTAATAGAGAGGCAGAAAGAGGATATAGATATTAATAAATTGTGGGGTTAGGCACAAAACTACCTTCATACGTCCGTTTTTAAAACCGGTACAAGTTACCTACGCTACAGAGGTTTTCGTGAGAAGACCGATTTGGGGATGTCTCATGGTCTGACTAACACCGCTCTAGCTCTGCCATCTTTCACTGCAGATTTGGAAGTACTACATCGGCGGATGCAGTGGATTGAGACACATCCAATAAATAAATAAACACATCTTAAACTGACTCTCTTCCTCTTCTCTCCTCCTTTCCTCTCCTCCTCACAGCTGAAGGAGTTTGAGACCCTGAGCAGACAGACCTGCAGCACTGATCTGACAGAATGGCCTGATGCTCCCAGTTCAACCCTGAATGAGTCCTCCACCTCCAACAGCAATGTAAGTGTTTACATAAACTCATTGATATAAGTGTTGTTGCTCTGTAGTCTTTGGTTTATGGTGTATATAGTATGAGCTCATCGTGCTACCATGTAACAAAGGCTACTGAGCTGTTTATGCCCATCCCTCCCCATCTCCCTCCTCCCTCCCCATCTCCCTCCTCCCTCCCCATCTCCCTCCCCATCTCCCTCTCCTCCCTCCCCCTCTCCATCTCCCTCTCCTCCCTCCCCATCTCCCTCTCCATCTCCCTCTCCTCCCTCCCCATCTCCCTCTCCCCATCTCCCTCTCCATCTCCCTCCCCTCCCTCCCCATCTCCCTCCCCTCCCTCCCCATCTCCCTCTCCTCCCTCCCCATCTCCCTCTCCTCCCTCCCCATCTCCCTCTCCATCTCCCTCTCCTCCCTCCCCATCTCCCTCCCCTGTAACGTGCCCTCTCCCAACAGGCATGCCATCCGGGCAGACCGCTATTCATCCCAGTCAAAGCGCCTGCTAACCCCTATTGTACTGCTGTGAGTGGGTGGATTCAGCACTGTGCTGTGTTGTGCAGGCCGCAGCTCTTTTCTGCGTGGTTGCAGTGATTAGGGGGCTCCGGTCCAGCCAACATATTTCAGATCCATTTGGATGGCCTCACTCGGTTTCTCTCTCCGTCATCTCTCCACAGTCAGCCTTCTGTCCATCCTCCCACTGTCACCCTTCTTTCTTTTTTTTTTTTTTTACCTCACTCTCTGATTTGTAACTCCTTCAAAACCGGTGTTTGATCTTTTGAAATTGATGCAAATGTTCCTGATTTTCCTACTAGTTCTTGGCTCCGTGTATCTGCAGCTTCTAACTTGAACTTTATCTTCCAATGATTACATAAGACTATATTGTCTGCAATTCACTTTCTTTGAGCTCAAGAACAACCGTACTACACAACTCTAGTGCTGTAAATAATTAAAATATTACTCTCATATTTAAATAATTAAAATATTACTAATTAAATAATTAAAATATTACTCTCATATTTAAATCATTAAAATATTACTCTCATATTTAAATCATTAAAATATTACTCTCATATTTAAATCATTAAAATATTACTCTCATATTTAAATCATTAAAATATTACTCTCATAGGCATTTAGAATCTTCTCTCTCTTTTTTTTTTTTTTACCAAGATGCCACCTGCACGCTCCAGATGTTGCTGTACCTCTTAGGCAGAATAGGCATCATATTTATTAGTTGAAGATGCTATGCATACTATGATGTAGCCTGTGTATAAAAAAAAAAACTGAATTAGGTGGACATTAAGTGCTCACAGCTCCCCAAGATGCGTGCTCACAGCTCAGCTGTGACGAGTAGAAGATGAGCGCTCGTGGCCCGATGTCTGCTTGGCTATATTTTAAGAAATAACCATTGTTTCTATTTCTCCTCTGGTCCACAGTTGTAGCTTTCCCATATGTTTTCATTCTAATTAACTCTATGGCTAGTTGTAGCTTTCACATATATAGATTCTTTCTCACTAACTTTTTTTCTAACTACTGCCCCAGGCCCTAAATATGAGACCATATAACATCTATCTGCTGAGGCCTGCTCTGACATGTATTCATTTAGGATGGGAAATTCCAGTTTGCAAACCTTTCATGTTCTTGCACACATCTCTTAGTCAGTGCCTGACCAGGGCCTTTAAATCGATTGCAGGTGTACACTCTGGTTTGATCCTTCAGTACTTATATTGAGCTCATATCCTGCATGTAGTCTCTACCTCAATAATAATATAGTTACAGTGGGGGAAAAAAGTATTTAGTCAGCCACCAATTGTGCAAGTTCTCCCACTTAAAAAGATGAGAGAGGCCTGTAATTTTCATCATAGGTACACGTCAACTATTACAGACAAAATGAGGGAAAAAAATCCAGAAAATCACATTGTAGGATTTTTAATGAATTTATTTGCAAATTATGGTGGAAAATAAGTATTTGGTCAATAACAAAAGTTTCTCAATACTTTGTTATATACCCTTTGTTGGCAAAGACACAGGTCAAACGTTTTCTGTAAGTCTTCACAAGGTTTTCACACACTGTTGCTGGTATTTTGGCCCATTCCTCCATGCAGATCTCCTCTAGAGCAGTGATGTTTTGAGGCTGTCGCTGGGCAACACAGACTTTCAACTCCCTCCAAAGATTTTCTATGGGGTTGAGATCTGGAGACTGGCTAGGCCACTCCAGGACCTTGAAATGCTTCTTACGAAGCCACTCCTTCGTTGCCCGGGCAGTGTGTTTGGGATCATTGTCATGCTGAAAGACCCAGACGTTTCATCTTCAATGCCCTTGCTGATGGAAGGAGGTTTTCACTCAAAATCTCACGATACATGGCCCCATTCATTCTTTCCTTTACACGGATCAGTCGTCCTGGTCCCTTTGCAGAAAAACAGCCCCAAAGCATGATGTTTCCACCCCCATGCTTCACAGTAGGTATGGTGTTCTTTGGATGCAACTCAGCATTCTTTGTCCTCCAAACACGACGAGTTGAGTTTTTACCAAAAAGTTCTATTTTGGTTTCATCTGACCATATGACATTCTCCCAATCCTCTTCTGGATCATCCAAATGCACTCTAGCAAACTTCAGATGGGCCTGGACATGTACTGGTTTAAGCAAGGGGACACGTCTGCACTGCAGGATTTGAGTCCCTGGCGGCGTAGTGTGTTTCTGATGGTAGGCTTTGTTACTTTGGTCCCAGCTCTCTGCAGGTCATTCACTAGGTCCCCCCGTGTGGTTCTGGGATTTTTGCTCACCGTTCTTTTGATCATTTTGGCCCCACGGGGTGAGATCTTGCGTGGAGCCCCAGATCGAGGGAGATTATCAGTGGTCTTGTATGTCTTCCATTTCCTAATAATTGCTCCCACAGTTGATTTCTTTAAACCAAGCTGCTTACCTATTGCAGATTCAGTCTTCCCAGCCTGGTGCAGGTCTACAATTGTGTTTCTGGTGTCCTTTGACAGCTCTTTGGTCTTGGCCATAGTGGAGTTTGGAGTGTGACTGTTTGAGGTTGTGGACAGGTGTCTTTTATACTGATAACAAGTTCAAACAGGTGCCATTAATACGGGTAACGAGTGGAGGACAGAGGAGCCTCTTAAAGAAGAAGTTACAGGTCTGTGAGAGCCAGAAATCTTGCTTGTTTGTAGGTGACCAAATACTTATTTTCCACCATAATTTGCAAATAAATTCATTAAAAATCCTACAATGTGATTTTCTGGATTTTATTTTTCTCATTTTGTCTGTCATAGTTGACGTGTACCTATGATGAAAATTACAGGCCTTTCTCATCTTTTTAAGTGGGAGAACTTGCACAATTGGTGGCTGACTAAATACTTTTTTTCCCCACTGTATGTTCCCATTGTGCATTTCCCAGAAAGGTTGAACAATTGTAATTATACTAACTTTTACTTATAAGCAGTTCAAATAACCATTCAAATAAACATTATTTTCACAGGTTTCATTTCACTAATTTTAAGGCTTGAGAGCTACTGACTGACACTGACTCCTGTTATCATCCTCCCCCTCCCCCTCTACCTCTAACTGGGTCTCCTCTCCTCCCCCTCTACCTCTAACTGGGACTCCTCTCCTCCCCCTCTACCTCTAACTGGGACTCCTCTCCTCCCCCTCTATCTCTAACTGGGTCTCCTCTCCTCCCCCTTTACCTCTAACTGGGTCTCCTCTCCTCCCCCTCTAACTGGGTCTCCTCTCCTCTACCTCTAACTGGGTCTCCTCTCCTCTCCTCCCCCTCTAACTGGGTCTCCTCTCCTCCCCCTCTAACTGGGTCTCCTCCCCTCTACCTCTAACTGGGTTCTCCCTCTCCTCCCCCTCTAAACTGGGTCTCCTCATCCTCCCCCTCTACCTCTAACTGGGTCTCCTCTCCTCCCCCTCTAACTGGGTCTCCTCTCCTCCCCCTCTAACTGGGTCCTCCTCTCCTCCCCCTCTACTTAACTGGGTCTCCTCTCCTCCCCCTCTACCTCTAACTGGGTCCCTCTCCTCTACCTCCCTCTACCTTCTAACTGGGTCTCCCTCTCCTCTACCTCTAACTGGGTCTCCTCTCCTCCCCTCTCCTCTAACTGGGTCTCCTCTCCCTCCCCTCTAACTGGTCTCTCCTCTCCCTCACCCCTCTACCCTCTACCTCAACTGGGTCTCCTCTCCTCCCCCTCTAACCTCTACTGGGTCTCCCTCTCCTCTACCTCTCCTCTAACTACTGGGTCTCCTCTCCTCCCTCCTCTTAACTGGGCCTCTCCTCCTCTCCTCCCTCCTCCCTCTAACTGGGTCTCCTCTCCTCTACCTCTAACTGGGTCTCCTCTCCTCCCCTCTAACTGGGTTTCTCCTCTCCCTCACCCTCTAACTGGGTCTCCTCCCCTTCTACCTCTAACTGGGTCTCCTCTCCTCTACCTCTAACTGGGTCTCCTCTCCTCCCCTCTAACTGGGTCTCCTCCTCCCCTCTACCTCTAACTGGGTCTCCTCTCCCTCTCCTCTAACTGGGTCTCCTCTCCTCCCTCTAACTACTGGGTCTCCCTCTCCTCCTATGGGTCCCTTCCTCTAACTGGGTCTCCTCTCCTCCCCTTACCTCTAACTGGGTCTCCTCTCCTCCCCCTCTAACTGGGTCTCCTCTCCTCTACCTCTAAACTGGGTTCCTCCTCTCCTCAACTGGTCTCCTCCCTTCTAACTGGGTCTCTCTCCTCCTCCCCCTCTAACTGGGTCTCCTCTCCTCCCCTCTAACTGGGTCTCCTCTCCTCCCCTCCCCCTCTAACTGGGTCTCCTCTCCTCCCCCTCTAACTGGGTCTCCTCTCCTCCCCCTCTACCTCTAACTGGGTCTCCTCTCCTCCCCCTCTAACTGGGTCTCCTCTCCTCCCCCTCTAACTGGGTCTCCTCTCCTCCCCCTCTACCTCTAAACTGGGTCTCCTCTCCTCTACCTCTACCTCTAACTGGGTCTCCTCTCCTCCTACCTATTAACTGGGTCTCCTCTCCTCCTCCACCTCTACCATCTAACTGGGTCTCCTCATCCTCTACCTCTCACCCTAACCTGGGTCTCCTCCTCCTCTTAACTGGGTCTCCTCTCCTCCCCCCTCGTAGCCTCTAACCTGGGTCTCCTCTCCTCCCCCTCTAACTGGGTCTCCTCTCCCTCCCCCCTCTAACCTGGGTCTCCTCTCCTCTCCCTCCCCCCTCTAACTAGGGTCTCCTCTCCTCCCCCTAACTACCTCTAAACTGGGTCCCCTCCGCCTCCCACTCTAACTGGGTTCTCCCTCCTCCCCCTCTAACTGGGTCTACTCTCCTCCCCCCTCTAACTGGGTCTCCTCTCCTCTACCCTAACTGGGTCCTCCTCTCCTCTACCCTCTAACTGGGGTCCTCCTCTCCTCTACCTCTAACTGGGTCTCCTCTCCTCTACCTCTAACTGGGTCTCCTCTCCTCTACCTCTAACTGGGTCTCCTCTCCTCCCCCTCTACCTCTAACTGGGTCTCCTCTCCTCCCCCTCTACCTCTAACTGGGTCTCCTCTCCTCTACCTCTAACTGGGTCTCCTCTCCTTCCCCTCTACCTCTAACTGGGTCTCCTCTCCTCCCCACTGCTAACCTGGTTCGTCTCTCTTCTTCAGCAGTTGTATGAGCAGTCAGATGGTGAACAGGAGGAGTATGGGACGTTCAGACGCCTCCATAAGTTGGTCAGCTCAAGTCGCAGGGTGCGCAAGAAGCTCATCAGGATCGACGAGTCCAAGAACCCTGGGTCTGAGGGTGAGACGGGTCACTGCAGTAGTCTTACGACAAGCCCATAGGGTGAAGATTAGGACCATTAGTGCACCAGATGGAATAATGATGATTAAAATTAATTTATTAAACTACAGTGCTATTCATTACATAAAGATTCTCAAAGCGCTTTAAAGCAGCACAAAATAGTCAAGCAATTTAGAAAGATATCATTAATTGAGATGTGATTAGGACCATTAGGGCATACAGCGAGGGGGGAAAAGTATTTGATCCCCTGCTGATTTTGTATGTTTGCCCACTGACAAAGAAATGATCAGTCTATCATTTTAATGGTAGGTTTATTTGAACAGTGAGAGACAGAATAACAACCAAAAAATCCAGAAAAACGCATGTCAAAAATGTTATAAATTGATTAGGATTTTAATGAGGGAAATAAGTATTTGACCCCTCTGCAAAACATGACTTAGTACTTGGTGGCAAAACCCTTGTTGGCAATCAGAGGTCAGACGTTTCTTGTAGTTGGACACCAGGTTTGCACACATCTCAGGAGGGATTTTGTTCCACTCCTCTTTGCAGATCTTCTCCAAGTCAAAGGTTTCGAGGCTGACGTTTGTCAACTCGAACCTTCAGCTCCCTCCACATATTTTCTATGGTATTAAGGTCTGGAGACTGGCTAGGCCACTCCAGGACCTTAATGTGCTTCTTCTTGAGCCACTCCTTTGTTGCCTTGGCTGTGTGTTTTGGGTCATTGTCATACCCATCCATGACCCATTTTCAATGCCCTGGCTGAGGGAAGGAGGTTCTCACCCAAGATTTGACGGTACATGGCCCCGTCCATCGTCCCTTTGATGCGGTGAAGTTGTCCTGTCCCCTTAGCAGAAAAACACCCCCAAAGCATAATGTTTCCACCTCCATGTTTGACGGTGGGGATGGTGTTCTTGGGGTCATAGGCAGCATTCCTCCTCCTCCAAACACGGCGAGTTGAGTTGATGCCAAAGAGCTCCATTTTGGTATCATCTGACCACAACACTTTCACCCAGTTCTTCTCTGAATCATTTAGATGTTCATTGGCAAACTTCAGATGGGCATGTATATGTGCTTTCTTGAGCAGGGGGACCTTGCAGGCGCTGCAGGATTTCAGTCCTTCACGGCGTAGTGTGTTATCAATTGTTTTCTTGGTGACTATGGTCCCAGCTGCCTTGAGATCATTGACAAGATCCTCCCTTGTAGTTCTGGGCTGATTCCTCACCGTTCTCATGATCATTGCAACTCCACGGAGTCCCAGGCCGAGGGAGATTGACAGTTATTTTGTGTTTCTTCCATTTGCGAATAATCGCAACAACTGTTGTCACCTTCTCACCAAGCTGCTTGGCAATGGTATTGTAGCCCATTCCAGCCTTGTGTAGGTCTACAATCTTGTTCCTGACATCCTTGGAGAGCTCTTTGGTCTTGACGACGGTGGAGAGTTTGGAGTCTGATTGATTGATTGCTTCTGTGGACAGGTGTCTTTTATACAGATAACAAACTGAGATTAGGAGCACTCCCTTTAAGAGTGTGCTCCTAATCTCAGCTCGTTACCTGTATAAAAGACACCTGGGAGCCAGAAATCTTTCTGATTGAGAGGGGGTCAAATACTTATTTCCCTCATTAAAATGCAAATCAATTTATAACATTTTTTACATGTGATTTTTTTGTTGTTATTCTGTCTCACTGTTCAAATAAACCTACCATTAAAATTATAGACTGATCATTTATTTGTCAGTGGGCAAACGTACAAAATCAGCAGGGGATCAAAAACTTTTTTCCCTCACTGTAGATGTGATGATGCCTTTACGTAGTCTGCAGTCTATTCCAAGCAAACCGTTTTGTTGGTCACTTGTTTGTACAAAAACATGACCTATTACTAATCCAAGTTGAGTTGTCATCCATTATACATCATTGTCTTGACATTCCCTGATTTCCACAAACCTGTCCTTACTACTCCTACCACCTCCCCTGTCTCTCCCAGAATCTCTGAGCATGGACGGGCCTATCCTGGGTGATGCCATGTCCTCTCTGCCCCTGTACTCTGGGGTTCAGAAGAAGCAGCCTGGGTCTGGGGGGTGTCACCACGTTGACTCCCTGGCCTCCTCCCTGCACAACCAGCTGACCTACGACCTTCAAGACTCGGACAGCCTGACCACCTCCCCCTCCTCCTCCTCCTTGGACACCTGCAGCAGCGCCACACACACCCACAGCCTGGATACAGTCTCCAGCACCACCCAGCGGCTGTTCAGAGCCTTCAGTAAGACAGGTGAAGCGAGTCACACAATTTTTCTTCAGGAAAATTACCCTTTCTATTAAGACATGGTGTTGCTATGAGAAAATTAAAACAACGCTTTTAATTGCTACTTATATCCCAGTGCTGGCCTTTTTTTTTTCATTTTTGATGTGATCTATTTATTTGGGTTTCAAGCACACTACATTTGTATAAGCAAGAGGATAAGAGTTGAGCACGTTCTCTCCCTGTACCTAATGTAGCAGGATCCATCCCCAGGAGCTCGAGTCCTGTCTGTAGCCCAGGGAGCCACCCGGACACTGGCCCCAGCGGGGAGGTGAGAGCGGCGGGGGCCGGCGCTAATGGTTCCTCCCTGTCAGCGATAGAGGTTGGTGGTAGAGGGGATGGACCCAGGATGGCCCGGTCGGTCACGGATGGAGAGATCAGGAGAGTACTCAGCCCACTCAGCTACCATGGCGTGAGTAGTCTTTGGCTGCTTCGGAAATGGCAACCTATTCCCTAAATATAGTGCACTTCCCATAGGGCTCTGGTCAAAAGTAGTGCACTATATAGGGAATAGGGTGCCGTTTGGGACGCAACCTTTGTGTGTGGACTGTGTAGTCTCTATAGCTTTAGTCAGGGTCAGTTTAGCCTGGGTGCCTGTCTGTTTCTGCTCCCTTCCCAACTCCTTATGGAATTGTAATGTTTGGCTCAACAATGACAGCAACTGAGTTAGCATAAGCACAAACCGATCTGGGACCAGGCTAGGAGCGGTTGGATGTTCACTCTAGTCCAAAACTATCTTCACAATGAACCACAAAGTCCTATATGCTTGATTAATGAACCGGTCAATATGTCCATCATTTGAAAGTGATATTTATAGGGTAATTTATTGATTTCGTCCTTTGTTTCAAAGAGAACCTGTAGCTTTGGCGGGTTTGATCTGACCAACCGGTCCCTGCACATGGTCAACAGTGACCCTGACCTCACTGTAAGTAGTTTAACATTCATCTGATTCATTGAGGTTTTCAATGCCTTGGTTTCATGTAGGTTTTCTGTCTCCCCACACTGCGTACTAACTTTAGATTCAAGATGGGGATGCCAGTGTGAAAGGCGTAGTCAAGTCTCCACTGACAAACCCTCGAATCTCTTTGGGGAAGAAAGTGAAGTCGGTAAAAGAGACCATGAGAAAACACATCTCCAAGAGATACCACTGCTCTCTCTCTGAGCAGGTATGTCAGACTCCATGCAATTCAATTATCTATGTATGCAAAATGATCCAGTGGTCAAACCGTACTTACTCTCTAGCTAATGTCCCTGGTGGCAATTCATTGGACTTGGTTCATGGTGATCATCAAGAGGTTAAGCTGGAGTAAACATCTAGTAAATATTTAGTAAACATGTATTAACCATGTTCCTATACCCCCCTCCAGTCAAGCCCAGACTGTATTTCCAGTGGGCCCCAGGCCCCTCACAACCTCACAGACACAGACTCACTGGAGAAACCCAAGCTGAAGGCTGGAGGGTCAGTGGAGAGCCTGAGGAGCTCCCTCAGCGGACAGAGCTCCATGAGTAAGTACTGTGTGTGTGTAGGAGGGGGGGGGGGGGGGGTGTATGGGTCTGTGGGGAGGGGGGGGGGGGGGGGGGGGGGGGGGCTATAGGTCTGTGAGGGGAGGGGGAGGTGTGTGGGGGTATGGGTCTGTTGAGTGGGGGTGTGTGTGTGGGGGTATGGGTCTGTTGAGTGGGGGTGTGTGTTTGGGGGTATGGGTCTGTTGAGTTGGGGTGTGTGTGTGTGGGGGTATGGGTCTGAGTGGGAATGTGTGTGTGGGGGTATGGGTCTGTTGTGTGGGGGTGTCTGTGTCCACATTTTTGTCTTATATGTCCTATATTCCAAAGTGAAACTGTTATTTGCAGAACAGAAAACTAGCCCCCTACCAACCTTCCATGTTCATTTACCATAGATCTCGATATGGTTTAGAGATCCTTTGAATGGCTCCTCTCATCTCTTGTTGTTTACAGGTGGTCAGACGGTGGGCACCACAGACTCCTCCAACAGCAACAGAGAGAGCGTGAAGTCTGAGGATGGAGAGGAGGATGAGCTTCCCTACAGAGGACCCTTCTGTGGTCGAGCCACGGTGCACACTGACTTCACCCCCAGCCCCTACGACACTGACTCTCTCAAACTGAAGGTAAAATGCACGCATGCATGCACGTACACACACACACATTATCCAAACGAACGAATCACAGGGACTGTTCCTGTTTTGCAGAGAGGTGATGTCATTGACATCATCAGCAAGCCTCCAATGGGGACATGGATGGGCCAGCTGAACAGTAAGGTGGGAACCTTTAAGTTCATCTACGTGGACGTTCTGACTGAGGAGGAAGACAAACCTAAACGCACCCGACGGAGGAGGAAGGGAGGGCAGCCCAAACCCACCTCTGTGGAGGAACTCCTGGAGCGCATCAACCTCACAGTAATGACTTTACTAGTACTAGACTAAATCACAGTAATGACTTTACTAGTACTAGACTAAATCACAGTAATGACTTTACTAGTACTAGACTAAATCACAGTAATGACTTTACTAGTACTAGACTAAATCACAGTAATGACTTTACTAGTACTAGACTAAATCATAGTAATTACTTTAGTTGTACTAGACTAACTCATAATGACAGTTGTACTAGACTAACTCATAGCAATGACTTTAGTTGTACTAGACTAACTAGCTATGGCAGGTAGCTTAGTGGTTAAGAGCGTTGTGCCATTAACCGAAAGGTCACTGGTTCTAATCCCCGAGCTGACTAGGTGAAAAATCTGTCGATGTGCCATTGAGCAAGGCACTTAACCCTAATTGCTCCTGTAAGTCGCTCTGGATAAGAGCGTCTGCTAAATTACTAAAAATGTAAAAAATGTAAATGTAACTCCTGGAGCGCATCAACCTCACAGTAATGACTTTACTTGTACTAGACTAATTCATAGTAATTACTTTACTTATACTAGACTAACCTATAGTGATGACTTTACTAGTACTAGACTAAATCATAGTCTAGTATAAGTAAAGTCATCACTATGTATATACAGACGCTCACACTTGAATGCTGTTAATCTTCCTCCTTTTGTGATGTGATATTTATTTTCAAGTTGGAGTTTAAGTTGGCTACGTGACCAAAGCCTACACTGTCACCCCTCTCTCGTTCTCACCTCTCACCCCTCTCCCACTTCCCCCCCCCCTCCCCCAGGAGCACCTGCCTACCTTCCTGTTTAACGGCTATGAGGACCTTGACACCTTGAAGCTTCTAGAAGAGGAGGATCTAGATGAGCTCAACATCAGAGACCCTCAACACAGAGCTGTGTTGCTCACCGCCGTGGCGCTAATACAGGAGGATGACGGTTAGTACACACACTGACACACACACACACACACACAATTCATGTTGTATGACGGACGTCCCTCTGCTGGGGGTGTTGTATCCTACAGGTAGCAGCGACCTGGACCGTAGCGGCCAGTCAGGGGGTTCTCAGGAGAAGCTGTTACTGGACCGGAGCGGCCTACTGGGGGACTCCCCACGAGACTCTGGCTGTTATGAGAGCAATGACAACCTGGAGAACGGTAACGACAGCCTGACTTGATTCTCCTCTTTCCCCATCTTCATCCACTTCTTGCTGCCATGGTTCTTCTCCAACCTCTTCATCCTCTAAGGGCTGCCATGGGCTCCATTCTTCTTCACGCATAGCTTGAGCATTCCAAACCAAACCGAGTTCTTAGGCCCCTGGGAGAGAGAGAGAGAGAGACTCTTGGCTGTAGCTCGTCACTGCATTGACGCTTATCTTTCATCTTTTTTTATTTCAATGTGACTTTCTTCTGTTTTTCTGCATCGTGGGAGTAAAGGACTCTTACCACCTGACAGTCCTCTTACCATCAACTCTGCACTCTACTGTGCTCCATCTGCAGGCATCTATAGTCATCTGGGCCTGTATTCAGTGTCTCCGGATAGGACTGCTGATATTGGATCAGTTTTGCCTCTTTAGATCTGATTTAATAAGATTATATAGACAGCAGGGGGGGGGGGACCTGATCCTAGATCAGCACTCCTACTCTGAGACACTTTTTAAATACGGCCCTGATCTTCTGGCTCTTTTTTTTCTTTGCAAGAATTCATTTTCCATTCATCCAGAACGGAGGAGAACTGATGAGAGGGTGTCGCTTACTCACTCAGTAACCTGTGTAGAAGAGGAGCGCTAACTCTTACTCACTCAGTAACCTGTGTAGAAGAGAAGAGGAGAGCTAACTCATGCTCCTACACTCACTAACTACAGTATTTCCAGAGACCTGTACAATGTGTTCTGTAGAACTGTTTCTAGGCCTACACAGGAATAGATCTGTCTTTGCATTGGCTGAAAATGGTGACTGCTGTAGTAAAAATAAAAATAAAGACTTCAGTACTACTTACATATTTACGGTGGAAGCTTTCTTTATTTGGTAACTAACTTTATTATTGTGGTTATTTGCTTTGGTTTATTCTTTAAAATAACAGTGATGATATTTGAAGGCTGTTGTGAATGTCAACAGCCCTAGTGGAGAGTTTGACAAGGATTTTCCACACCTGTATATTTCTCAAGATTTTTGCTGTTTGTGTTTATTTTTCTAGTTCAGAACCATATAATGTAGCACAATATTTTATGTGCCTAAAGACAGACATGCTTCATGCAAGATTCAGATTTAGTAAATGGTTCAATTATACTTGTTAAAATGGTGGCGCAACATTTTTGTACAATTGTGGGTGCATCAAAATGCATAGCTGTGACTGAAAGAAAATATACAAAAAAGCTGTGTGTTATAGCTGAGGATACCTTAAAATCAGTGTTAAATACAGCTCATGGCAATCTTCCCATAGCACCTCTGATGCTAGGGGTCATACTGGTCTAGATATCTCAGGCTGCGTCCCAAATGGCACCCTATTCCTTATGTAAGTACACTACTTTTGACCAAGACCAATTGTGCACTACATGGAGAATAGGGTGCCATTTGGGACATAAGCACAGTCTTTGAGCCACTGTCATAGTGAGAGCCCGAGGATGGAATAAACTACTCTGTGGTTTACTAGACCGGCCTGTCTGCCTGCTTACTGTGGTTTCCTAGACCGGCCTGTCTGCCTGCTTATTTCACTCACCAGTCATCTACTGCACATCATGCTTTATATTCCAGTCAGCTTTCACGATAAAACAAATACCTTTTTTTTTGCGTCTTTCTGCAGTTCCGTTTTCTGCCATGTATTTCTGTTCCTCTGAAAAGAACATCCTATTAATCAATTAACAATGCCTGTGTTATTACCTGTTTGTTTCAGAAGGGCGGGGCAGAAAGACGTCTTCCATGAGCAGGTCCTCGTCAGGTTTTGAGTCCAGTCACCTCCCTTCACCAGAGAACCCCAGCCTCCCCTTCAACCTCCCCCTGACCCACCCCAGTAAGACCACCCTACAGTCCAGACCAGAGCACCAGTCCTCTACCTTACCATCTCCAATAGTCCCCATGACCAGCTACAACCTTCTGAGGCCAGAGAGGGGCCAGAGCCATCACAGAGACACCCAGCTGCTGAGGAGCTGGAGCTGTGAGGAGCTGGGAGGTAGGCCTACTCCCACAGCTCTGGGGCTGCTGCGGCCTTGCCTCTCCCTGGGGGAGCTCCACTCAGACCTGGGCCTCCACAGCACTGAGCTCCACACCCTGGAAGACCTAGAGCCAGCTCATACAAACATGTCCAAGGCTGGGGTGCAGGGACAGCCTACACAAGAGGCTCTACCGCAACTACGAAGACACTCAGAAGGACCCTACCCACCCTCACAGCTACTGCTCACCACACCTTGTAGTGTTCTGTCTTGTATGTTAGTTGAACATGGGAGTTCCCAGGTCAACAGACCTTCCACGCACACACCTCAATATCCCCTCCATCACCGGGATGTAGGTCCAAGCCTTCCCTGTCAAACCCAAACCGATGTGTACCATCACCCCCAGCAATGACAAGTCACTATGATAGTGCCTCTAAACACTTCTCTTTAGAGGATGTATATAGTTATTACAGAAGCAGTAACCCAACCCTGCACCTCATACTGACCATGCAGACTCTCCTCCCTAGTCTGAAGCCCACAGGACTCAGTCTGCTGTGGGAAGGAAATTTACACCTGTCAGGTCAGTCAACCCTGGGATCCCTCCAGGAGGAAAGACTGGAGTCAGAGGAGATAGATCTGACAACAGAGCCCTTCTCTGACAAGATAAATGGGCTCTCACCACATATACAGTACTAGTAAGTAGTACTACGCTCATGTAGGACTAAGAAGTACCAGATGTGTCGAAGGCCACAGGCCCCAGCTGGAGGTTCGACTGAGGTGTGTCAAAGGCCACAGATCCTAGCGTATGGACCGACAACTGACAAAAATAGCTTACTAGATTTCCAATCAAGGTTTCGGATTGTATTTCACCTTTAACCCTGTTTGATTCAAATCAAATCAAATTTGCCACATGCGCCGAATACAACAGGTGTAGACATTACAGTGAAATGCTTACTTACAAGCCCTTAACCAAAAATTCAGTTTTAAGAAAATAAAAAGTGTTAAGTAAAAAATAAAAATAATTAAAGAGCAGCAGTAAAATAAAATAACAGTAGGGAGGCTATATACAGGGGGGTACCGGTACAGAGTCACTAGTATGAACATTGCCAAGCTGTAAGTTATGTTAATACTGGACGTGAAATACTGTGACTGAGGAATACAGAATTTGTTTTATTAAGATTTGAGTGTGATTAAAGCAATAAAAAAAACAAGGTCTTTGATTTTATTTTTCTGCAAAGTTAGAATTGATTAAATCTGAGACATCTGAACATGAAACATCAGACAAAATTTACAACAATCACTTACTGAAATGTCAAGCCCCTGTACCTTTTTAACTATTCTACCGCAGCCATTATCAATTGCTTGTCTGAAATATCCTTCTCCCTGAGGGGTTTTGCCACGTCTAAAAGTACTGTTCAGTAGAATCCATAAGTGCATTAATTCGATGTCTTGGTAGCTTCTATAACATTCAAATGACTAAATTCAAATAACTTTTCACAGTGGAGATTTCATTCATAAAATAATTTGCATCTTATATCAAGTGAGCAAAATCGTATCTCTCGCTTTCATTTAATTCAAGTGCAATGGCAGCAGGTATCACTAATTGTGACCCAAAACGGTGCAGATCAAGTAATTATATCATGAAGATATTCTATCAGGATTTCTATGACCGAGAATCTGCGTAGTGTTCACAGCCTGGCCCTGGGGCGCATCTCATGGAGACACTTCCTGACCAGCCCCAATGCGTCCAGGGCCGTGCCCCAGCTCAGAGTGACCCCCCAGCCCCCATGGCCGTAGTTATGCACCACCGGTACCTGTCGGCTCCCCAGAAGGACCATCTCTCTCTCCACCCGGACATTCTTCCTACTGGGTCTCAGCCCCACAGACACCCCCAGGATCCTGGCCCTGCTCAGGGATGGCTCCAGCCTGCTACAGCGCTCCAGTATGTCCTGGCTGTCCTCTGGGTCCACCTCCAGGCGCCAGTCGTCCACCTGCCTACAGAGCCAATCAGCCACACAAAAAGACAACTATGTCTCTTCTCGAGAGCATACAGACTGAACTTCTAGTGGACAACAGGTATAGAAATGTTGTGTAGTTCTTAGTGGTAGAACCAAGGCATCCCCCTTTCTAAATTATCATTATGTAATGTTGTGTATATTTCAGAGTATTCCTCATGTAAAGAGCATCTCATTTCATGATGAAATTATGTTTTGTAATAAACTTGCCTGGTGCCGCCCACTGTCACGCTGTGCATCCCTGGGTAGATATAGGACAGTCCTTCCCCGTCCCGGATGAAGTGTTGGAGCCAGGGGGCCTGGGTCTTCAAAATAAAATGGAAGTTTACGGTCATGTACACAGCACAATGAAATGCTTATTTACAAGCTCTCCTCTCAGGTAGGTAGGTAGGTATGTATGTATGTATGTATACACACCCTGAGGACCTGCCCCCTGACAGGGTAGACCTGAGAGTCTCCTACTAGAGACTTGGCACCCAGACCGGAGCAGTTGACGATGACGTCATAGCCCTGGCTGCTTAGTTCCTGGAGATCGTTTACTTTCTGCTTCACAACCTGGCCTCCTGCTTTTCTAAACCTGAAACAACGTTGTTTTTTAAAAGTCCGTCATAAAAGATTTGAAAGAAAAAAAGTCATCCATATTTTACTTTGAAGTACATAGAGTAGCCCTTACAGTGTTTTTGATACAGTAGCTGTTAATAGATTAACACATGACTATAGTATAGAAGTAAAACAAGCTAAGACCAAGAATTTACCTCTTCTCCATCCATGGCAGGTAGTAAGAACATTCGCATTTCACCGTGGTGAACGCCTGGCCAAACTTGTGATCGGGAAACCGTTTCAGTTCACGGTCTGTCATGATTCGGAAACCCAGCACAAACGCAGACCAGAATGGCACCTTATCCGCAGGGACCTCCTTGTGTATTTGCCATCTAAAAAAATTATCAATACCAGTTATAACCAAACCACAGTGGTGAGCGTTTTCAACCAGTAGGACTTTCAAATGAATTAATGCATGTCAGAGAACTATTGAACTGGCTGACTCGTTGTGTGCTTCTGAAATGGCACCCTATTCCGTATAGTACACTACTCTTCTGACTGGTCAAAGGTAGTGCACTATATAGCATCCATTCCTTTATGGTTGAGGATCCTTACCCTGAGCTGAGCAGCACCCCAGCCTCTGATGCCTGTTCTGATTGGGCGATAGCCAGCAGGTGATCAATCGTCTCCTTGAACCACCTCTGCTGCCGTTCCAGAGGGATATCTGGGAATGTAGGGAGAGAGAGAGGAATGTCGGGAGTGAGAGAGGAATGGAGGGAGGTTGAGAGGAATGTAGGAATGTAGGGAGAGGAAGGGAGAGAGGAATGAGGGAGGGAGAGAGGAATGTAGGTAGGGAGGGAGAGAGGAATGTAGGGAGAGGGAGGGAGAGAGGAATGTAGGGAGGGGGAGGGAGAGAGGAATGGAGGGAGGAAGGAATGGAGGGAGGGCAGAGATGTCGGGAGAGGATGTAGCGATAGGGGAGCAAGTCGTGGGATCGGCGGCCTTTTCGGGCCGTGTGGGCGGGGTCTTCGGCCGCGGGCGCTTGCGGCCTTCTTCTTTCGCGCGGGGGTGCGGCGCCGGCTGTGCCGGCGGCGCGCGCCTGTCGGGCGGCGTGCCATGCGGTCGCGCGGCCTGTGCGGCGCGCCTGTCGGGCGAGAGGAATGTAGGGAGAGGGAGAGATTGAGAGAGGGATGTAGGGAGAGAGGAATGTACGCTCTAAAAATTAGGGGTTCAACAAGGGTTCTTCTAAGATCCTCAAAGTTTTTCAAAGAACCTTAGGGTTGCCCCCCTAAAGAAATTGCCCCCAAAAGGTTGTTCCAAGAACCCCATAGGAGGTGGGGTTCATCGAGGAACCTCCTTAGGTTCCCGCAAGAACCCCTACCAACTAACTGCCCAACTGAAACATTTGGATTTGAAAGGACTGCAGGTGCAGGAACTTACCTTAAATTGAGGAGGTCTTTACATTTTTCAGTTAAGGTTTGTCCCTTGTATGATCTAAATGTATATTGTTTTATGATGATACCATCTATCTTTTCATATTTGTGCAAATCTTTCTAAAACAGAAAATGGACACAATTCAATGGATATCAAGCAACAGGTACGAATATGTATGCTATAAGAATATGTTGAAGGATAGCTGTATTGGGTGCAGATGACTGAACTGCTCACTTTTGTGTCTGTCTGCAGGTATACAGACGTGGAGGCATACGAAGGTATGTCAATTGGTATTGGTATGTTATGCAGATCACATGTACCATCCTCCTCCCTTACCTCTACAATGAATATCCCATAGGCCTCTACATTATGGACATGGTATGTGTATGAAAACCATTATCAAAAGTTTTCTTCATTCACGTTTATCACAAAAACCAAGGTATGAATACTGTTGTGTGCATGTTTTGTTAAACATCTGTATAATTACTATTTTTTGGATTCACAGACTTCACCCTCCCTACACCTCTGATGAATATAACAGGAAACCTGTTTGATTACCATACACTTCAAAGTCATTCTGGCTATGGATACGGAGAACATCAACACATTAACATCAACACACCAGAGGATATACCCATTGGACTTCGGGCTCTGCTAGGAGTTTACCTCATATTTTGATTTTTTTATTCTGCTTTGCCACTAAAATAGTGTTTTTTTTGTGTATTATTATTATTTAATAATAAAATAAGAGGGGGGGGGTAGTTCAAAAATTAACCCCAAAAGGTTATTCAAGGATCCATTAAAAGGGGTTCTTTAAAGAACCCTTTTAAAGGGTTCTTCGGAGAACCTATAGGGGTTCCCCCACAGTTTCAATTTAAAGAACCCCTAAAGGATCCTCCAGGAACCTTTACTTTTTAGAGTGTAGAGTAAAATTCACATCAACTGGGGATGATATTTTCTGATGAATTTACTTCATGGTAAAATTAATTATTTCATAATTTACTTTAATTAACACAATGCGGTAACACATAGGCCTAGTACAGCTAAGAGCATATATAGTTCCACACCAATTCACATGAAGTGGTCAGAAACCAATAGAAAGTAATGACTGTTAATGAACTTAATAAACTATTAATAAATTGGGTAAAGAGATGCCCATACCTCACCTGGGAACGGTGAGCAAATCAGGATCCCAGCAGCCATGTCGCTGGTGGTGTCTGGGGTAAACCTGTCAGCTATGAGGGTCACAGAGCAGTAGGGGAGGGCCTCAGCGATGCACACAGCCGTGGAGAAGCCCACCACACCTCCACCCACCACCACGACCTTCACACTCCTCATCACAGGATGACTCTGCTGTGAGAAAAACAACATAAGTGAAAGTTGTATTACTTACTTGTACTGCGTTATACTGTGTATACCTTGTTAAAGCACCTGTAGGTGATGCATGAAGGTGAGTATGATCAAATGCAAAATTAATATCAAAACAGCAGTGCAGTGTTTCAGTCCTACATGTTTATTTTACATCCCAGCCCCCGTCCCCACAGCTTGCCTTCTGCCTCTTGGTAGGCCATCATTGGAAATAAGAATTTGTTCTTAAATTGACTTGCCTAGTTAAATAAAAGGTTAAATAAAAAAGATATACAGTACCAGTGAAAAGTTTGGACTCACCTGCTCATTCAACGGTTTCTTTATTTTTACTATTTTCTATATTGTAGAATAACAGTGAAGACATCAAAACTATGAAATAACTCATATGGAATCATGTAGTAACCAAAAAAAAGTGTTAAACAAATCAAAATACATTTTAGATTCTTCAAATAGCCACCCTTTGCCTTGATTACATCTTTGCACACTCTTGGCATTCTCTCAACCAGCGTCACCTGGAATGCTTTTCCAACAGTCTTGAAGGAGTTCCCACATATGCTGAGCACTTGTTGGCTGCTTTTCCTTCACTCTGCGGTCAAACTAATCCCAAACCATCTCAATTGGTTTGAGGTAGGGGGATTATGGAGGCCAGGTCATCTGATGCAGCACTCATCACTCTCCTTCTTGGTCAAATAGCCCTTACACAGCCTGGAGGTGTGTTGGGTCATTGTCCTATTGAAAAACAAATGATAGTCCCACTAAGCTCAAACCAGATGGGATGGTGTATCGCTGCAGAATACTGTGGTAGCCATGCTGGTTAAGTGTGCCTTGAATTCTAAATAAATCACTGACAGTGTCACCAGCAAAGCACACCACCTCCTCCATGCTTCACGGTGGGAACCACACATGCGGAGATCATCCATTCACTTACTCTGCATCTCACAAAGACACCGCGGTTGGAACCAAAAATATCAAATTTGGGCTCATCAGACTAAAGGACAGATTTCCACCGGTCTAGTGTCCATTGCTCTTGTTTCTTGGCCCAAGCAAGTCACTTCTTATTATTGATGTCCTTTAGTAGTGGTTTCTTTTCAGCAATTCGACCATGAAGGCCTGATTCACAGTCTCCCCTGAACAGTTGATGTTGAAATGTGTCTGTTACTTGAACTCTGTGAAGCATTTATTTGGGCTGCAATTTCTGAGGCTGGTAACTCTAATGAACTTATCCTCTGCAGCAGAGGTAACTCTGGGTCTTCCTTTCCTGTGGTGGTCCTCATGAGAGCCAGTTTCATCATAGCGCTTGATGGTTTTTGCGACTGCACTTGAAGAAACGTTCAAAGTTCTTGAAATGTTCCTGATTGACTGACCTTCATGTCTTAAAGTAATGATGGACTGTCGTTTCTCTTTGCTTATTTGAGCTGTTCTTGCCATAATATGGACTTGGTGTTTTACCAAATAGGGCTATCTTCTGTATACCAACCCTACCTTGCCACAACACAACTGATTGGCTCAAACGCATTAAGAAGGAAAGAAATCCCACAAATTAACTCTTAACAAGGCACACCTGTTAATTGAAACGCATTCCAGGTGACTACCTCATGAAGCTGGTGAGAGAATGCCAAGCATGTGCAAAGCTGTCATCAAGGCAAAGGGTGGCTACTTTGAAGAATCTCAAATATAAAATATATTTAGATTTGTTTAACACTTTTTTGCTTACTACATGATTCCATATGTGTTATTTCATAGTTTTAATGTCTTCACTATTATTATACAATGTAGAAAATAGTAAAAATAAAGAAAAATCATTGATTGAGTAGGTGTGTCCAAACTTTTGACTGGTAGTGTATATAATAAATAAAATAAATAACACTGGGCTAAAGGTTAAGGATAAGTGGGTTGGTTAATGTCGATTAAACAACAATGACAATGGGCTATTTGTACAAACACTAACCACTCCACTTGACTCAATTAAGTATTCAACGTTCAACCTTTTTCTTAATCAACATTTTCATTTGTTATAATCTGGATTAAACATATCCAACATTGCTTGAGATTTTGAAATTAAATAGAGATAAAGTTGTAAAAAAAATATAGATAATAATCACCCTTACAAAAAAGATTGCAGTTTTGAAACTGCAGTAAAGGTTCAGTAACCAGTCGACTGTGGTATTTTGGATGCAGTATTTGCAGGATACTGCAGTTATACTGCACTTTGACTGCAATATTTTTTCTTAAGGGCATTTACAGATAAAACACTGCTATTTGCCCATATTCGATTATGATGCATAACAGAACTTCTCCAACTAATGTTTGACCTACCTGCAGGCTGTGCGAGGTTAAAATGTATCAAACTAATTTACTACTCTGCATAATGGACAGCCAAATCATTATGTAATTGAATTCCTGCTCCATCGGACTTGTTTGTCTGTGGGATGCACAGATCTAGGATCAACTCCCCCTCCCCCAATCCTAACCTTAACAAATAGCGGGTGAAATGCGAAACTGACCCAAGACCAGAGACTAGAGGCAGGAGGGGAAAAGTCCTGAAACGAACCAAAATAAATTATGTGTGCCTTTACGAGTTTGTATCCAGCCAAATATTCATGCGCCATGAAGACCGTGAATATTTTTATTTTTTTTATTGATCCAAAGAATCTGTTAATAACCATGTGTTCAAAGCGTACTGTAGGAGAACTACAAACATAGTTATGACATAGAAAAAGGCTACTAACCTACTACATGTCTCTTTTATTTTATTTTTTATTTCACCTTTATTTAACCAGGTAAACCAGTTGAGAACAAGTTCTCATTTACAACTGCGACCTGGCCAAGATAAAGCAAAGCAGTGCGATAAAAACAACAACACAGAGTTACATATGGGGTAAAACAAAACAAAGTAAAAAATACAACAGAAATACATATAATATACAGTGTGCAAATTTAGCAAGTTATGGAGGTAAGGCAATAAAATAGGCTATAGTGCAAAATAATTACAATTAGTATTAACACTGGAATGATAGATGTGCAAGAGATGACGTGCAAATAGAGATACTGGGGTACAAATGAGCAAAATAAATAACAATATAGGGATGAGGTAGTTGGGCGGGCTAATTTCAGATGGGCTGTGTACAGGTGCAGTGATCGGTAAGGTGCTCTGACAACTGATGCTTAAAGTTAGTGAGGGAGATAAGTGTCTCCAGCTTCAGAGATTTTTGCAATTTGTTCCAGTCATTGGCAGCAGAGAACTGGAAGGAATTGCGGCCAAAGGAGGTGTTGGCTTTGGGGATGACCAGTGAGATATACCCGCTGGAGCGCAGACTACGGGTGGGTGTTGCTATGGTGACCAATGAGCTAAGATAAGGCGGCGATTTGCCTAGCAGTGATTTATAGATGGCCTGGAGCCAGTGGGTTTGGCGACGAATATGTAGTGAGGACCAGCCAACAAGAGCGTACAGGTCACAGTGGTGGGTATTATATGGGGCTTTGGAGACAAAACGGATGGCACTGTGATAGACAACATCCAATTTGCTGAGTAGAGTGTTGGAGGCTATTTTGTAAATGACATCGCCGAAGTCAAGGATCGGTAGGATAGTCAGTTTTACGAGGGCATGTTTGGCAGCATGAGTGAAGGAGGCTTTGTTGCGAAATAGGAAACCGATTCTAGATTTAACTTTGGATTGGAGATTCTTAATGTGAGTCTGGAAGGAGAGTTTACAGTCTAACCAGACACCTAGATATTTGTAGTTGTCCACATACTCTAGGTCAGACCCGTCGAGAGTAGTGATTCTAGTCGGGTGGGCGGGTGCAAGCAGCGTTCGGTTGAAGAGCATGCATTTAGTTTTACTAGTGTTTAAGAGCAGTTGGAGGCTACTGAAGGAGTGTTGTATGGAATTGAAGCTTGTTTGGAGGTTTGTTAACACAGTGTCCAATGAAGGGCCAGATGTATACAAAATGGTGTCGTCTACGTAGAGGTGGATCTGAGAGTCACCAGCAGCAAGAGCGACGTCATTGATATACACAGAGAAAAGAGTCGGCCCAAGAATTGAACCCTGTGGCACCCCCATAGAGACTGCCATAGGTCCAGACAACAGGCCCTCCGATTTGACACATTGAACTCTATCTGAGAAGTAGTTGGTGAACCAGGCGAGGCAGTCATTTGAGAAACCAAGGCTATTTAGTCTGCCAATAAGAATGCGGTGGTTGACAGAGTCGAAAGCCTTGGCCAGGTCAATGAAAACGGCTGCACAGTACTGTCTATTATCGATCGCGGTTATAATATCGTTTAGGACCTTGAGCGTGGCTGAAGTGCACCCATGACCAGCTCGGAAACCGGATTGCATAGCGGAGAAGGTACGGTGGGATTCGAAATGGTCGGTGATCTGTTTGTTGACTTGGCTTTCAAAAACTTTTGAAAGGCAGGGCAGGATGGATATGGGTCTGTAACAGTTTGGATCTAGAGTGTCACCCCCTTTGAAGAGGGGGATGACCGTGGCAGCTTTCCAATCTCTGGGGATCTCAGACGTTACGAAAGAGAGGTTGAACAGGCTAGTAATAGGGGTTGCGACAATTTCGGCAGCTAGTTTTAGAAAGAAAGGGTCCAGATTGTCTAGCCCAGATGATTTGTAGGGGTCCAGATTTTGCAGCTCTTTTAGAACATCAGCTGTCTGGATTTGTGTGAAGGAGAAGCGGGGGGGGCATGGGCAAGTTGCAGCGGAGGGTGCAGAGCTGGTGGCCGGGGTAGTGGTAGCCAGGTGGAAAGCATGGCCAGCCGTAGCAAAATGCTTGTTGAAATTCTCGATTATTGTAGATTTATCGGTGGTGATAGTGTTTCCTAGCCTCAGTGCAGTGGGCAGCTGGGAGGAAGTGCTCTTATTTTCCATGGACTTTACAGTGTCCCAAAACTTTTTGGAGTTAGTGCTACAGGATGCAAATTTCTGTTTGAAAAAGTTAGCCTTTGCTTTCCTAACTGCTTGTGTATATTGGTTCCCAG